CCAGATGTTTTCAAATCAAATCAAAACCACCTCAGCATAAAATTCAACGCTCCATAAATTTCTGACCCAACCCACTCTAGCTTTACCGTCCAAGTCAATGAACCACTTTCTATTCCAGTCAAGACAGTCTACTCTTCATCTTTCTTGACTCTAACCAGTATACCTCATATCCATCCTGGTCTGCCTCTTTCTAGTAAACTTTCATCAAAAACTATTTTTTTTGCCCTGGCTGGTTTTGCTCAGTGGTTAGAGCATTGGCCTGTGGTCCAGAGAGACCTGGGTTTGGCTTCCGCTAAGGGCATGTACCTCGATTACAGTTTGTCCCTGGCCCTGGTTGGTCGTGCGGGTGGCAGCCACTCAATGTGTCCCTTTCACGTTGATGTTTCTCTCTCTCTGTTCCTCTCTCTCTCTCCCACTCTACCTGAACAAAAAATTAAAAAATGTCCTCAGGTGAGGATTAAAAAAAAAAAAAAAAGGCATTTTTTTCTCTTTAAAACAAACACATGAAAACTAAAAGTACAGGCGACAAAAAAATAAATTGAGTTTCATCAAAATTTAAAATTTTTGTGCATCAAAGGATACTATCAACAGAGTGAAAAGGCAACCCACAGAATGAGAGAATATTTAAAACTCATATATCTGGTAAGGGAGTATTTGTAACTCAAATTATCTGACAAAGGATTAATATCTGGAAAATATAAAGAACTACAACTTAATAATAACAAAAAACTCAATTTAAAACTGAACGAAACGTGAATAAAAATTTTGGCAAAGAATATACACATATGATCAATAAGCACATAAAAGATTGGTTCAACATCACAGAGAAATGTACCAGTGGGGAAATGCAATTCAAAACCACAGTGACATACCACTTCACCCATTAAAATAGCTATTATCAAAAACAAACAAAATAATAATTGTCGGTGAGAATGTAGAGAAACTGGAACCTTATGCCTTGGTGGTAGGAACGAAAGACAGTACGGCAGCTCCTAAAAGAAGTAAACATAGCAGTTTCATTTGTGGGCATATACCCAAAAAAATTGAAAGCAAGGTCTTGAACAGACATTTGTATACCAATGTACATAGTAGCATTGTTGACAACTGTCAAAATGTGGAAGCAATCCAAGTGTCCACTAACTGAAGAATGGATAAACAAAATGTGGCATATATATACAATGGAATATTATTGTCTTAAAAAAATAGATTTCTGACACATGCAGTAACAGGACAAACCTTGAAAATTATAATAAATGAAGTCAGACACTAAAGGACAAATATTATGAGTCTACTTATTAGAGATACCTAAAATGGTCAAATTCAGAGACAAAAAGCCGAACAGTGGTTACCAGGGACTAGAGGATGGAGGAACAGGGAGTGAGTTAGTGGTTAGTAGTACAGAGACTCTGCGATGATGGCCAAGCCCTACAGGTGCAGAGCGGTGATGGTTTACAACAATGGAAGGCACTACTGTTACTGACCTGTGCATTTGGAAATGGATGAAACTTCACATCATGTATATTTTAACACAATAAAAAAAATTCAACCAAAAAATTCCTAATGCCATTAAACGTCTCAATATTTTATAGATTACTATTAATTATGGTGTTTGTCATTTGGGTCTAGAACAAGTCTTCCTATAAAGTTAGAAAAACTTAAAATTAGGCACTTTTTAAAAGATATCTTTAAATACCAACCAGTGTTTAATATTTGAGCTATAAACTGAAAATTAAGTAATTTATCAAAGAAAAGGCATACATGAGAAATTATTCTGTGTATTGTTATTCTCTCTCCGTCACTAATTTTCCTCTATTGATCTTCTTTACGTGGTAGTAGTTTCCTTCATCACAAAACTGCATCTTTTATCCAAAGTAGCTAAAATTTTAAAGTAAATAATAATGTAAATGGAATGATGGCATATAGATTCAAATGCTAGACTTGAATTACAGGTTTTGCAGTAAAAACAACAGGAAAAAGAGGGAGGATGTATTGCCTTGTGAGTCTAAAGCAGAATATAAAACATCTTAACGTAACTTGTAAAAAATTAAGAGATACTATGGCATACATTATAAAAGTGCAAGAATTTCATGTAACAAATCCATGCTTTATCAAAAGGACCTCTTCCAAGGATCATCACATAAATCTCAGAAATTCTGATCCCATATTACCACTTGGAAGATGGACTATTGGCGTAGACTTAGTCAAGATAAACTAAAACTAGTATCACTATTTTTAACAGCAAACTAAATGACATGCATAAACATAAAAGTACATCTAAATTTTTAAATTATCATTAAATAAATGTTCACAATTAAAACAGGAATACAAATAAAAAATTACATGGATGAAGCAACTGACTAGATACAAGCACGGAGGAATCTGGGCATACAAATAACATGAATCCACAAAATGGTATTGCCATTTTTAAAACAATCTAGTATTTGTAACAGATTAATGCAAATTGTCTAAGGGCCAAGATAAATTAATATATGAAGTTCCACATTTTGAGATAGGCCAAAACAAAGGGTCACACATTCTAAACTTGTTTCTATATCCTAGAATATAGCTGATACTTAAAAACATATTGGCTAAATGAAGATCATTAAATAAGAACCTGAAACCATTTAGTAGCTAGGGAAGTCCAAAGCCCAACATAACCCTGAATTTAAAAGATATGCCACAGGGTAATTATCTCAATTATGATCTTTGACCTTAAAATTCTGTGGAAAATAGTGATGGATACGTCAACTCCTAAAGCAGTGTATGTAACCTGCAATCAGAAAACTCTCATATCAGAGTTTAGGGAAGTCAAAATATTGAGGCAACAGAGCAAGGAGTTATGATCTTTCCAGAGGGAAAATGGCAGCCTTAAAATCTTGAAAGATGGGCATATTAAGTAGTCCACTAGGAAAAAATGAGAGTTAAGATTATATATGTGAAGAAGTCAAAGATAGGAAAGTGATCAGCTTTGATATATGAAACATTGTGAGCCAGATTTTCCTGGTTACCAGTGCAGACTGTGGAGTCAGATTGCCTTGACATTTTATGAAGTTATCAAAACATCTGCAGAATCCACTGAGCCTTGGAAATGTACTAGAATACTGTCATTCTACATGATAAACCACATCAGAACATTTGATACGTAATATTCTAGTTAAAAAAAGAACAGTACAGAATAAGAAAATGCTCAAGTTCTGTTCATTTAGAACAAACTTGAGAGAGAAACTTGTCTACCAGTGTAGCTTCATACTTAAATGTTTCTCCTTATCCTTATTAAAGATGTCTAAGCTTTGGTTTACTAATCAGTTTAGTAAATTAATGCTAAAGGCAGTAAATTTTTATGCTTTAATTTTAAGCTCTAGATAAAAAAATAATTGTTTTTATCATACACAGAATGTGTTTTTATCTTCACTTCTGACAAGATCACCATTCAACAAGATAATCAAAACTGAGACAAAAAGTGGAAGGTACTCTGGCCGGTTTGGCTCAGTGGTTAGAGCGTTGACCTGTGGTCCAGAGACCCGGATTCAGTTTCCGCTAAGGGCACGTACCTTGGTTGCGATTTGTCCCCAGCCCTGGTTGGGTCGTGTGGGAGGCAGCCACTCGATGTGTTCCTTTCACGTCGATGTTTCTCTCTCCCTCTTCCTCTCTCTCCCTCCCACTCTATCTGAACAAAAAATAAAACAATGTCCTCAGGTGAGGAAAAATTAAAAAGTGGAAGGCATTTTTTATTTTTAACCAGAATACTAACATTGAAACTCGTTTCTAGTAATAACTGGGAGTGAGAGTTCTAATGTAGTCTAAGATCCTTTGTAAGTGAAAATTCTAGTTAGCGTTCTTTAAGAAAACCTCTGATTAGATATAAAGCAAAATCTTATAATATAAAATTCCCTTTTCTGACAAAATCAGAAGAAATCACTACCTGCCTGTGAGAACAGCAACTAAAAAAGTGAGTTAAATATTATTAAAAACCGAAAAGACATCTGGCTTTTCCTATTCTTAGGTTTATCACGTTTTATTTAAGAATAATCTTTATATTAAAAATTACTAAGAAACTTTTAAAAAGACAATTAACTTCTAGATTTATGGTTACTGCTCTGTAATGCAACTTTAAAAATAAGAATATGTATTTCAACATTAAAGTAAGAATATGGCCTGGCCAGTGTGGCTCAGTAAATTGAGCGTAGTCCCATGGTCTGAGAGGTCCCTGGTTCGATTCTTGGTCAGGGCACATGCCGGGATTGCAGGCTCGATCTCTAGTAGGGGCATGCAGGAGGCAGCCAACCGATGTTTCTTTCTCACATTGATGTTTCTCTCTCTCCCTTCCTCTCTCTCTCAAAAAAAATCAATAAAAACATACTTTAAAAAATAAGTATGTATTTAAATGTACTTAGTGTACAGTTCTAACAATATTAGCATTTTAAGTGAGATTAATCAATGACAATGAAACTGCATTCTCCTTAAGAAAAAGAAACTAAACACTATACAATAAAAACAATAACTGAAAATCCTGATTTATGTTATTAAAAGAGTTGATTTATCGCCCTGGCCGGTCTGGCTCAGCAGTTAGAGCGTCGGCCTGCGGTATAGAGAGACCCGGGTTCGGTTCCCGCTAAGGGCACATACCTCGGTTGCAGTTTGTCCCCGGCCCTGGTTGGTCGTGCGGGTGGCAGCCACTCGATGTGTCCCTTCACGTCGATGTTTCTCTCTCTCTCCCTTCCTCTATCTCCCTCCCACTCTATCTGTACAAAAAATGGAAAAATAGCCTCGGGTGAGGATAAAAAAAAAAAAAGAGTTGATTTATCAATTTTTCCACAGAATTGGCAATCACTATTACTTCAAAATCAAAAGATGTATAATTTAGGGGAAAGAGTAAATCTATGAAAATTTTGAAAAATTTCCTAACCGCTTTTCATCCTTAAGATTATAATTATAGAGATAATTTTCAGAAAATGTACCAAAAATTTCATATTAAATAACAACAGTGGACCTTAGAGGCATGAGCTTTTGTCACTTTATTGTTAACCAATGAATGTTATCCAAAATTATAGATGTAACTATAATTTAATTGTACAACACAAAATTATGCTAATGGTAAAAGCCTGTTGGAATTTACCAAATACTCATTAATGTATTTTTACATTGCTATATGAACATGTGTTCTCAACTGCTAATAATAAAAGTTATAATTGGTTTAATCACTATGAAAATCCATATTGCAAATAGTTGTTCCTGTTTAGAAAAATTCACACAGCTTTAAAACGGATTAACTCCATTTTAATCCTAAACAGCCAATATAACTGGTAATTTTTCAACACTGATATCAAACTGATGTAGCAATGGTAGTGCATACAATTCAAAATGAAGAAAATAAATAATAAATCCAATGATAATCCATGTCTCCCCCCGTCATGGCAACTGCTGTAATGCTTTGGAAACGTGAACACTTATGCTCAAGCATGAACAGAAGGGTTCACCATGCATTGCTCTAATGTGCTGTAAGTAGAAACATTCTCTTCCACAGTGTTTTGAAGCATGTGCACAACCATGTGCAAAAGTCACTTCAAGGTTAACCAGTTATATTTTGTCCTACAAAGTCCAAAAAATATATTAAAATGCAACCTTTCCTTTTCATAATGTCTGCCCAGATTAATCCTTTTAAAGTCAGCAAAATCAAAAAAGCACAAGAGATATTTTCAGACACAACTTGAATCTACTGTGCATGAAAATGTCTTAATAAAATGGCAATTTTAATAGATAAATGTCAATTTGAATGCATAATACCAAATGAAAAGTAGCTGAACCACACAGAGAAAATAAGGCTTTCCTTATCTCCAAATCCAGATGTTTTATAAGAAAGAAAATGTTAGAACATGTGAATATTAGACCATCTTTCAAACTGGAAAGATTTCTTCTTAAGACATAATTGAACTTAATATTACCTAAAATTGCAATTTCTAAAATAGAATCAACAAACCAAATTTTAGTACTCTTAGTCAGAAACTGAAAAAAATAAGCACAGTGATTTAGGAACCAAATATGCTAAAATGATCATGTAACAATTATATCAAGAAATGAAGGTATAGACACCCTTCATATGCTACAAGGGCAACATCTCTCTTACACACACACACACACTCACACACACTCTTCCTCAGACATACAACCTCTCCAGGAAGATAGTATACCAGTGAGAGCTTATAATTTTAATGAAATTCAGAGTCCCACAATTCAGCTCAACAAAAAGGCAGTTAAAAACTTAGCATTCTAAGATATTCTGAAGGAAAAAGAAATCTCAAACATAGCTATTCATGAGAGAAAGTATTACTATGTATTAGAAAACATATCACTTGAACAAGCCACTGTGTTTGAACAACCAGACATTGCAGGTGTAGTAGTGAGGTAGTATTACTGTCCCCTCATGGGGCTGATGTTCTCATATGCTGCCCTTCCAGAAAGGTCCAAGGTTTTTAATGATTATAATCAATAACCAACAAATGTGTATTTTCTTTTATTAAATGTCTATTTATCTAAACCAATCTATGAAAGAGCTAGTTTTTAAATCTTTAAGACAACTATTACTTGCAGGTAGTATTTCATCAATGAACTCTCTCCTAGGGAACTACTACCTGCTGTCTACACCTTTGTGAATTGGTAGGCAAAGAAAACCAAAGGATAACAGAAGATGAAACACTAATCAATTCAGCTGTCAAAGATGGCTGTAATTAAGTATCAAATATCCAATAATGTAACAAAATTGGGATTTAAAAAAATTAACCACAGTTGCACACTACACTGTTCAACTTCCTAATCCTTTTTGTGATTCACAGCCATCTTCTACATAATGATCAAAGTCTGTCCACTGTGACCTACACTCATTTTAAACACTGCCAATGATGGCAGAATTATGGCTATGGCATGGCAAGGTATGAGAAGGGCACACTGAGAAAATATAATGAGAGAGAATGTGGAACTACATGTAGGTAAAATATGGAAGGGGCAAGGGAAAACCTAAACACTCATTAAATCACCATCATCCTTTAAAATGTACAAAAGTGCTTAAATCACACATACACATTTGTTAGACATGATAATCAGTGTTAATCTTCAACAGAAAAAAAAAAAGGAAAATGCAAAATATGAAAGGAGGTGATGAACAGTTCTCCAGTCCCTGGCTCAAAAGAAAAAGAAAACCAAACACGATGTCACACTGCCTTAATGTTGAAGAGCTCCCCTTAAATATGTCTTTTAGCCACCACAGTCAAACTGGTATAAGTGCTTTGGCAAGGTGGGATGCATTCCATCACATCTGCAAAGGCCTGCTTTTCTCTGTTGGTGGTTCAGCTTATGAAGAACATGTATGCAAAATAACAGCTCTCACATTGCTTCAAACTCATCAATACGTTGCTTTGTATTGCCTTGTCGAATCTGTCGCAGAGTCTTGTATTTATCACGGCCTGCTTTAACATTCTCAGCATGCAGAACATCATTTTGTGTTTTCTTAGTTTCATCTCTGGCTTGAGCTAATTCTGAACTTAATGCCTATGTTTAAAAAATAGAAAGGCATAACTATTATTTTTTTCTTAGATTTTAAAAACTTAAGAAAAAGGCTTAAAGACAAAAATATACTTATAAAAATGTGTATGTATTTTAGTATATTTAAAACTAAATTATGAAATCTTTAAAGTGTGTAAATTTGTTTTATTTTTAGCAGTCATGAGCATAATGGTTAGAGAAGAATACCTATGGCCTTTCATTTCTCCATCCATCAACCATTATGATTTTGTGTATTAACCTAATTTCCTTAACTTTCTCACAATACTTGAAATGGCTACCAAAATATTTAATAATGTTATTGTTAAGATCTAAAATCTACTCTATGAGAGCAGCTTTCTCCAAAAGCCTTAATATTATTTATTACAATTATCACCTCCTTTTATTAATATCTAAAGATTTCACCAATTAAAAAATTAGGGAACTTAATAGTAAATAAAACCCAGGAATATTAAATTTTCCTATTTTGATCTAGTTATAATTAGATCAATAAGTAAATAATCCAGATTATATAACGTCATACAGGTAGTCTTAAATCACTGCTTTCAATGTATACTTTGTTTAAAAACTAAATTCATTTGTTTTTTAAACACAGCATTGAATACTTTCTATCTTTTAAAATGGCTATAATTAAAGAATAACTTACTAATTAAGACCTGATGACATAAGGCTAACAAACGTTTGCTAACGGAGCCATATCATGAAAGAAGTGAAATGCTGTGCCTGTAGGCACTCACAAACCAACCACAAGGTCAGCTAGTGTCAAAGCTTCCAAAAATCCAATGTTCCTTTTCAATAACTTTGTCTTGATAAATAAGGAAAATGAAAACTATACTTTCAATATGCATACAACTACAACTCTGAAATACCTGGAGTTGCTTCTTAACACGTTCATTTTTCTGTGTTTCTGTTACACGTTCCTCCTCACTTCTATGGTTCATTACCCCATCACTTGATAATTCAGCACTAGCCTCAGCATTATTCTCATCATGTTCATCATGTTCATTTTCTGTTGGAGGAATGACTGGTGGTGGTGGTGGAGGGGGCGGGGCAGACATCACACTTTTTAACTCTTCTTTGGTCTTTTCCAAGTCCTCCTGGGCTGCATAAGCCTGAATATTAAAAATAAGTTTATTAGCAACTTCAAAAATTGGTAATTAAAAAACCAGTAATCAGCCCTGGCCGGTTTGGCTCAGCGGTTAAAGCGTCGGCCTGCGGTACAGAGAGACCCGGGTTCGGTTCCCGCTAAGGGCATGTACCTCGGTTGCAGTTTGTCCCCAGCCCTGGTTGGTCGTGCGGGTGGCAGCCACTCGATGTGTCCCTTCACGTCGATGTTTCTCTCTCTCTCTCCCTCCCGCTCTATCTAAACAAAAAATGGAAAAATGTCCTTGGGTGAGGATAAAAAAACAAAAAGAAAAAAAAAAAAAAAACAAAAACCAGTAATCCTTCCTAATAGAAACTGTATCTCAGGTAATGAAAATGAGCCCTACTGATGCAAGTTCTATTTTTACAGAAGAATGCCAGCAGCTAGGAGTGACAGAATTTTAAAAAACATTACTCTGGAAACACTAATAAAATTACTAATTCTGGCAAGGATTATCAATGCTGCTAAAATTGTTCTGCAAATGATTGATGAGAAATGGTTATTAGTATAATGCCAAAGAATCCCACAGCTAATAGATCATATTTTAGCCACAAGAGGGCAAATGAAACCAATGAAGGAATCAGATTGTTATTACTCTAATACAATAATCAATTAAAATATTTAATGGTGAGTTAACTAGATATTAAGTGTGATCTGATATGATGTAACAGGAAGTATCCAACATCACCAATCATTTTAGTGATCATACTGTGCTGGTTTGCCTGAAAAGTTCTGCTTTAGACTGTTGTCCTGGTGTAACTGTTAATAACACTCCCTCGCTTTCACTTTCAGAAATATTCTAATTTAGATGATAAGTTATATGGAGGTCCTACCTATGAGGTATTATAGCCAAAACTTTTAACTTGAATTCTTCAAGCTTTTAGGTGTATCTTCCAATTCACAGGAAATATTAATGATAAAAGAACAAGCTGAATGACTCCATGAAAAAGCAACTGACAAATATAGGAGGAGAAAAAATCTGGGTGCTTGCAATAATTCAGTATTATAAAAAGAACTGTCCTACTTTAAAATAGACTTAGAGCAAACAGATGCAATGCAAAGTCCCATTTTGGACACTGGCCTGGCGAACTAGCTATAAAACACTTTTTGGTAAATTTTGAACACAGACTGCCCAGAGATAAACCCACACATGTATGTTCAGTTAACTGATAAGAAAGCAGCCAAAAGCCTGGCCTGTGTTGCTCAATGGTTAGCATGGACCCATGTACCAAGAGGTCACCAGTTTGATTCCTGGTCAGGGCACATGCCCAGGTTGTGTGGGGCATGCAGGAGGTAGCCAATCGATGTTCTCTCTCATCAATGTTTCTATCTCTCTCCCCCCCTTTCCCTTCCTCTCTAAAATCAATGAAGAAAAAAAAAATTACAAAAAAAATCAGCCAAGAATACATAAGAAAGGACAGTCCTTTAATAAATGGTGTTGTAAAAATTAAGAGAACCACACTCAAAAAAATGAAACTGGACCACTATGTTACACCATATACAAAAGTCAAATCAAAATGGATTAAATATTTTAATTTAGGACCTAAAACCATAAAACTCTTAGAGAAAATCATAGGCAGCAAGCTTCGTGACATTGGTCTTGGTGATGATTTTTTGGATTTGACACCAAAAACAAAAATAAACAACTGGGACTACATCAAACTATAAAGCTTCTGTACAGCAAAGGAAACCCAACAAAACAAAAGGGAAACCTATCAAATGAGAAAAAAAATATTTACAAATCATATATTTGATAAGGGATTAATATCCAAAACATATTAAAAAACTCAAACAATCCAATTAAAAAGATGGGCGGAGAGCCCTGACCGGTTTGGCTCAGCAGCAGAGCCTTGACCCACAGACCAATGAGTTTCAGGTTCAATTCTGGCCAACGGCACATACCTCGGCTGCAGTTCGTCCCCAGCCCTGGTTGGATCGTGCAAGAGACAACCAGTTGATGTGTCCCTCTCACATCGATGTTTCTCTCTCTCTTTCTCTCCCTCCCACTCTATCTGAAGATAAATAAAAAAATATCCTCGGGTGAAGATTAATTAAAAACAAAACAAAACAGGCAGAGAACTGAATAGACAGGTTTATAGATGACTAATAGATACACGATAAGCCCTGGCCAATTTGGCTTAGCAGTTAGATCGTCGGCCTGCAGTCCAGAGAGTCCTGGGTTTGGTTCCCGCTAAAGGCACGTACCTCAGTTGCAGTTTGTCCCCGGCCCTGGTTGGGTTGTATGGGTGGCAGCCACTCAATGTGTCCTTTTCACGTCGATGTTTCTCTCTCTCTCTCTCCCTCCCACTCTATCTTAACAAAAAATGGAAAAATGTCCTCAAGTGAGAATAAAAAATAGATACACGATAAGATGCTCAAAGTCACTAATCATAAGGGAAATGAACATCAAACCAGGGAGATATTACCACACACCAGTTAGAATGGTTATTATAAAAATAAATAAATAAATGTTGTTGAAGGTGTGATGAAAAAAAGAGCCCTTACGTGTACCATTGGTGGGTCTGTAAACTGGCGCAGCCACTATGAAAAACAGTATGGAGATTCTTAAAAAATTAAAATTAAATTGGCCACATGGTCCAGCAATTTTACTTCCAGTTATTTATCCAAAGAAAACAAAAACACTAACCTGAGAAGATACATGTATCCCCATAAGCACTGCAGTATTAGTAACAACAGCGAAGACATGAAAGCAACCTGAGTGTACATTGATAAATAACTGTATATAATTAAATAATTGAAAATGTATATATCTGTTCCTACACACACACACACACACACACACACACACACACACACTGGAGTATTATTCAGCCATAAAAATGAAGGAAATCTTGCCACTTGTAACATCATGGATAGACCTTGAGGGCATTATGCCAAGTGATATAAGTCAGGCAGAGAAAGACAAGTATCTCATGATCTCATCTATGTGTGGAATGTTTAGGGGGATAAATAATAATGGAAAAAATAAAGAAAAGCAAATAAACAAAGAAACTGAGCTTATGGATACAGAGAACAGACAGGTGGTTACCAGAGGTGGGGGGTGGGAAAATACAACAAAGGGTTAGTAAATACAAACTCCCAGCTATAAAAAAAAAATCATGAGATATAATGTACAGCACGACAACTGTAGTTAGTAATACTGTATTACATATTTGAAAGTTGCTAAGAGAGTTAACTTAAAAGTTTTCATCACAAGGAAAAATATTTGTAGCTATTTATGGTGCTTATGATCATTCCACAATGTATACAAATATAAATTATTCTGTTGTACACCTAAACTAATATGTCAATCATATCTAAATTAAAAAATTTTTTAATATAGTCTAATATTAGGTAAGAGAAAAACCAACTAAAATGAAATCATTTATATAGTATGACCTCATTATGAACATATAAATGTGTATAACACGCATATGCAAATAGGAAAAGGTCCTGCAAGGATGTGCACTGAGGTGTCACAATAGTGACCCCAGTTTGTGGAAATGTGACTCCTGTGTGAATTCTCTAATTTCCGTAATTGACAGGATTTGCCTCGTGATGTGTTATTTTTACGTTTATGTATCTCTATGAAATTCTAATAAAGATAGTGTAACAGGTAGTTTACCGGAGTTTATTCCTTTTGCAGTTATATATAGATATATATGTAATTCTCAATATATGTAAAACTTTCCTATAAAATTTAAACTGCTACAAAGAAAATTTAAGAATGAAGAAAACCATATTCATTTTATTGTAGAAAAGTCATAAGTATGCATTTAAGAATTAATGTACAAGTTTGAATTACGCCCTCATTATCTTACATTCCCCACCCCTCCAACTAAAGCCTTAGATTTCACTTGTGTGTGATTTCAGACAGGAGTGGTTTCATCTACTCAAGAACTCATATTAGAAATTCCAGCATCAGCCCTGGCCGGTTTGGCTCAACGGTTGGAGCATTGGCCTGCGGACTAACGAGTCCCGGGTTCGGTTCCCACTAGGGGCACATACCAAAAAGAAAAAAAAAGGAAATTCCGTATCATCTTCACTGCATCCCTCTAATGCAACTTTATAACCAGTCATCTGGTTGCCATGCCCTTTTGAATCCACCACAAAATCTCTCTCACAAGTCCTTTTCCTCTTTACTCTCACTGCCACATCCTTAGTTATGGTCTTTAGCTTCAAAGTAATCCTACCCACTATCCCAGTCCGTCCCTCACAATGACTACATGTTACAATCTTGTTTTAAAATCTTCGATCCCAATGTCTACAGATACTCCCTGTCATCTTGTCTTAGCAGGACATTTACATAAAACCTTTCACAACTAAATTTCCTAACTTTCTAGCCACATCTCCCAAAATTTCTGAGTTGCTTGCTCACTGGTAAGTTACCCTTAAATCTACCTTACAGTTTCATAATTCCTACATTCGTTCATCTCTCTCTCTGGAACGATTTTCTCTTCAGTCTAACCACTCCCAATCTTTTCTACCCCAAAACTGAATTTATTATTCAAAACCCAGCTTAAACTTACAAGAGTTTCCCCATTACCTGCCTCATTGACCTCTCCTGTGTTCCCAAAGTACTTAGCTTACATCAATAGATTAATGTTTACTACCATGCACACAGGTATCCGTCCCCTCTAAATTCTAACAGTATCCTGTACTCATCTCTATAAATTCAGCATATTTCTGGGTACAAAATAAGTATTCAATAAATGATAGTGAATGAACAAAGAAATACTTACTTTTTGTTGCCACTCATTAGCTTCCTCCTCCTTTTTCTTCTTGGCTACTTCTAGAAGTGTAATCCTGGCTGTGAATTCAGCAAGTTCCGCTGCCTAAAATGAACAATATAACTGTCAAAATTAAAAAACAATATATTTTCAGTAATTTATATTAAGTCAACAAAGCTTGAATATACATGTTTGGGTTTTTTTTTTCTTATATAGTCTTCCATTTTTAAAAAGTTAGTATTCCTTTACGATCATAAATATCTTACTCACAGTAGGTCTAGGGACCCATAATAAGCTAATAATGAGAACAGGCAAAAAAATTTTTATCATTCTATAGACAATTTTTATCATTCATGTGTCTGTAGCAGGAACTTAAAATGTGCAACTTAGCCCTGGCCAGTTTGGCCCAGCAACTGGAGCATCGGCCCGAGGACCAGAATTGCAGGTTCAATTCTGGTCAAGGGCACGTGCATCAGCTGCGGTTAGGGCCCTGGCCCTGGTTGGGGTTGTGCAGGAGGCAACCAATTGATATGTCTCTCTCACATCAATGTTTTTCTCTCTCTCTCTCTCTCTCTCTCCCTCCCTTGCTCTCTGTCTGAAGATAAATAAAAAAATATCCTTGGGTGAGGATTAAAAAAAAAAAAAGATAGAACTAAGGTTTCTTACTAGCTGTTCCTGATTCTTCATCTGGTCAGCAGCTTGTTTTGCTATAGCTGACTTGGCCTCTTCAGCAGCTCGACGCTCCTTTTCAAGCCTTTCTGCTTCTTCTTTTGCTCGTTTTCGTTCCTGGTCCAGTTCCAGAGCTTTTCGAGTTTGTTCTTCTAGTTCTGTCAAAAATATGAATGCCCCCCACCACAGAAACAGTTAATTCCAATTACACTCCCTATCAAAAGAAGCCAAATTAATAGCAAGGAATCTAATCTGTACAGTTTCTAAAAATTAGCACATCTGTAAATAAACATATACCTCATTTTTAACTTACTAAAAGCTTAGTAATTTGTTAAAAATATATGTAACAACTTAAAAATGCAAAGAAATAAAAATCTGCACAACTGTTTTTAAAAAATAATCTTTTCAAAGTTTTAAACAATTTTTTGTGGAATTTATTGGAGTGACATTGGTTAATAAAATGATACAGGTTTTAAGTGTACAATTCTATAATATATCATCTGTATACTGTACTGTGTGTTTACCACCCAAAGTCAAGTCTCCTTTATCCCCCCTTTATCCTCTTCCCAGTACAGGAGAACAGATGAGGAGCAGAACAGAGTCTGAGGCCAGCAGGGTCCTCCCGGCCTAGAAGACAGAGATTTAGACTCTGGGGCTGCCAAGGCAGCCTCTTAAGGAATTTGAGATGCCGAGACCCTTAAGAGGACTGAATAGTGCCCGGCCGGTGTGGCTCAGTGGACTGAGTGTCATCTAATGGACTGAGAGGTCCCAGTTCGATTTCTGGTCAGGGCACATGCTTGGGTTGCAGGTTCGATCCCCGATAGAGGGCATGCAGAAGCAGCCAATCAGTGTTTCTCTCTCACATTGATGTTTCTCTCTCTCCCTTCCTCTCTCTCTAAAAAAAAAAATCAATAAAAACATACATAAAAAAAGAAAAGAAATGTAAGCCCCAAAATCTGCTTGCTACTTCCCCTCAAGATGTTTGTCAACCCCTAAAATGTACACATAAGGTAAGACACTAGAACATAAGGAAAAGGCGCTGTAAGAGGCTCAACAGCTGAACAGAGAAATCATCACTCTCTTGCAGCTGGGGAGTCAGAGATTGGAGTTCAGGGCCCTCTAAGACAGAAGGGCCTCACAAATAGGCAGTCTTTCAGATGACAAGCCCAAAGGGCTACAGACTAGCGGAAGAGGAAACCCAGAGAGAGACCAAGCTAACAAAGCCTAAGCCCCAGTTCAACTTCATCAAGACGATGTGCACATATTCTGCCAGTCAAAGAAAAACTAAATTCTCCCTAAAAGAAAATAACATCACCCAGAGTCTCCACAACTTTTCATACACAATTTTAGGCATTCAACCGAAATTACCAGGCATACCATGAGATGGGATCAAATGACCCCCTCTAACCACCCCCCTCAAAACAGACTACAGGCTAAGCCCATAGATTATGTAGTAGTATAATAGATTATAGTGGAGTTAGCAAATAAGGCATTACAATAATTATGATGACTATTTACTAAGACAACTGGGAAATAAGCAAAGCATGAGGAAAGAATCAAAGTCCAGAGAAACACTGACAATAATATAGAAAGTGATCTTCAGGCACCTTATAAATCCTCTACAAAGACACCAAGGGCCAGAGTTCCCTTCATTATTACAGAAGTTCAATGTATCCATCTTTACCTTATGGTTATGACCATAATCTACTTTGCTATCTTCTAGAAGCTTCATTTTACCTCTAACATTTAGGTCATTAATTCAAAGCCCCGCCACAGAGAAACATCCACTAAAAATTCATGACTTCTTTGACAGAGATCCAGATACTCTACTCATTTTATTTCAGCAAATAAAATTAAATTCTAGTGAGCCACTAGAATCATGCATTGAAATTCTCCCTAAAAAGAAAAAGATAAAATATATTTATAACCACCAAAGAATCAGCAAAACTGAGAGATAAACCACAGAACTTATATGCATGTATATATAACCGATGACAACAAACCTGGGGATGGGGCGGGGGTGGGGGGGTAGGAAGGAGGGTGTCAATGGGGAAAAAAGGGAAGACATCTGTAACAAAAATAAATTAATAAAAATAATTTAAAAAAACCAGAATCAGCAAAATTGCAAATGTGAAGGGCAAGGGAAGCCCCTCCTGTGGCCAAGGATGAACGGTTAAGGAAAGAGCATCTGAAAAGGCCAGACTTGAGAGGTAGGAAAGCTGCATTCAGAAAGTATTATTAGCTCATTATTAGAACTTTGCAGCAAAGACATCCCAACAACTGATCTTCCTCTCCTGGACTTCCCATCTCTAGAACTTCCTCTTCAGAAGCTGTGTATTCAGAAAAAGATTACAAATAAATAGAATGGGGGCCCACGGAAGATGAAAGGAAAAGAATAGTTAATAGAGCAAGCAAAAAGAGAAAATTTCCAACCCAGGAAATTTTCACCTGGAAATACAATAGGAGAAGAGGGTACACGTTGCGAAATAAGCAGAATTTCTAGACTGTTGACTCAAATCAAGGAGTCCAGTCTTGGCAGAAATTAAACTCTTCTGGAGATTTAGCTTGTCCTGTTACAAATGAAATGGCTCCCTTTAATACCTTTCTCAAGTAATCATTTTCCTTTTCTGAACTTCAGATTTACAATGCATAAAACTGTGTAATGTGCAACAATAATTAATGCCGTAAAACAGTGGTTCTCAACCTGTGGGTCACAACCCCTTTGGGGGTCGAACAACCCTTTCACAGGGTTGCTACCATTAACTGTAGCAAAATTACAGTTATGAAGTAGCAATGAAAATAATTTAATGGTTGGGGGTCAGCACAACATGAGGAACTGTATTAAAGGGTCGCAGCATTAGGAAGGTTGAAAACCACCGCAAAGGTAATGTAAAATCTAATATATAAACCCAAAAGTTGTCAAATTATCTTTAACAATCACTGCACTTATTGCCTGTATTTTGTTGAACACCTATTATTAATTTATGAGATGTAAGTTACAAATCTTTCTAGAAACAACTCACAGTTAAACAGTATGGTATAGCAATAGGACAAATGGGTAAGTGAAACAGAACAGTCTATAAACAGACCCACGTATATACAGTCTTGAATTTGTGATAAAGGTGATGCTGTAGTACAATGGGGAAAGGATAGCCTTTGCAATAAATGGGTCTGGGAAAATTGGAAATATGGGAAAAAACACTAACCCTTAGAAAAGTCAGTTACATATAAATTGTGAACTCAAATGTGAAAGGCAAAACAAAGTTTTTAGAAGGTAGTACAGAATAACATATTCATAACCATAAAGAAAGAAGTTTGCTAAATAGTACTTAAAATTAAGAACTCTTCATTAAAAGACACCCTTAAGAAAAGTAAAAGATAAACCACAGAGAGAAGATATTTTACAATACATGTAAAAAAACTCCTACAGATCATTCTGAAAGAAAAGAAAATCCAATTATTTTAAATGGACAAAAGATGTGAAAGGGCACTTCACAGATAGTTACAAGCATTTGCAAAGGCGCTCAAAATCTTCAGTCATGAAGAAAATGTACTGTCCTCATTGTACTTACTAGAATGACTAAACAAACAAACAAAACAAAAAAGAACCCTGACAATAACAGGTGATGGAAGTAACAGTGAAGATACAGGGCAAATGAACTTGCATTCACTACTGATAGGAATGAAAAGTGATACAATCGCTTTGAGAAAATGGTGGCAGTATCTGCTATAGCAGAGTATAGCTGTTATCTAGCAATTCCACTCTTAGGATATACCTCCCCAAAATTAATACATATGTACTACATTCAAGAATGCTCATGAAAGCCTTTATAATAGCCCCAAAGTGAAAATATTCCAAATGTCCATCACCAGTAAAATGTGCAATAGAATATTTCACAGCAATGTAAAAGAACACATTACAGCTAAATTACATAAGTTTAAGCCCCATCCTCCCAAAAAAGCCAAATATAAGAGTGCATAAATTCATTTATATGTAGTACAAAAACAGACAAAACTATTCTTCGGCATGACAACACAAGCAAAAATAAATAAATTGGACCCCATCAGAATTTAAAACCACTGGGCTTCAAAGAACACCATCAACAAAGTAAAAAGACAATCCATTAGATGGGAGAAAATATTTTTAAATCATTTATCTGATATCTGATAAAGGACTTATATCCAGATATATAAAACATTCTTAAACCTTAACAACAAAAAGACAAAAACTGCAAATGAAAAATGAGCACAAGCCCTGGCCAGTATTGCTCAGTTGGCTGGAGCATTGCCCCATACACTGAAAAGTCATGCGTTTGATTCCTGGCCAGGGTATATACTACTCAGGTTGTGGGTTCATTCCCCAGTTGGAGTGCATATGGGAGGCAATCGATCAATATTTCTCTCTCACATCAATGTGTATTTTCTCTCTCTAAAATCAATTTTTAAAAAAAGGGCATGAAACTTGAAAATACATTTTTCCAAAGAAGATATATAAATGGCCAATAAGCATATGGAAAGATGCTCAACACCATTAACCAGTAGGAAAATGCAAATCAAAACCACTTCATATCCATTAGGATGACTATAATCCGAAAGACAACCATGAACAAGTGTTGGTGAGGACATGGAGAAATGGTACACTGTTGGTGGGAATGGAAAATGGTACAATAGTGTTAGAAACCAGTTTGGCAGTTCCTCAAAAAGTTAAATATGGAGACCTGGTTAGTGTGGCTCAGTTGGTGAGAGCATCATCCTGTGCATCGAAGGGTCTAGAGTTCGATCCCCAGTCACGAAACACACAAGAATCAACCAATGATCCAGCCAGTATGGCTCAGTGGTTGAGTGTCGATGCATGCACCAAGAGGTCGCCGGTTCGATGCCCAGTCAGGACACATGCCCAGGTTGTGGGCCCAATCCCCAATGGGGTGCATGCAGGAGGTAGCCAATCGATGTTCTCTCTCATTGATGTTTCTATCTCTCCCTTTCCCTTCCTCTCTCTAAAATCAATAAAGGGGGTGGGGGGGATTAAAAAAAAAAAAGAGCCCTGGCCAGTTTGGTTCAGCGATTAGAGCATCAGCCTGTGGTCCAGAGAGACCCGGGTTCAGTTCCCGCTAAGGGCACCTACCTCAGTTGCAGTTTGTCCCCAGCCCTGGCTGGGGTCATGTGGGTGGCAGCCACTCCATGTCTCTCTCACATCGATGTTTCTCTCTCTCTCTCCCTCCCACTCTATCTGAACAAAAAATGGAAAATGTCCTCAGGTGAGGATTAAAAAAAAAAAAAAAGAATCAACTAATGAATGCGTAAATATGTGGAAGAACAAATCAATATTTCTCTCTGTCTCCCTCCCTCCTTTCCTCCCTTGCTCTTTCTAAAATCAATTAAAAACAACAACAACAACAACAACAACAAAAAAGCATATCCTCATGTGAGGATTTAAAAAAAAGGTTAAACACAGAGTTACCATATAATCTAGCAATTTCAGACCCAGGTTCAAACCCAAAAGAAATTAACACACATAAAAACACAACAACCAGTACACAAATGTTCGTTATCAGCATATTCACAATAACCAAACAGTGGAAACAACCTAAATGTCCAAAAACTGATGAACAAGTAAAATATAGTATATTCCACAGAATAAATGCCCAGGTTGTGGGCCTGATCCCCAGTGGGGAGCATGCAGGAAGCGACCAATCGATGTTCTCTCTCATCGATGTTTCTCTCTCCCGCCCTCTATGTTCCCCTCTCTAAAAATCAATAAAAAAAATATTTTAAAAATAACTAAAAAAATTTGCTTTGCAAAAATTCATAAAGCCTCACACCTAAGAAGTATGCACATTACTATATCTATGCTGAAAACTTTAAAAAATATAACTACAAATTTCAGAAAACTAAGTTAGGAACTATTTACTTCCATTTTAGAAATTAGAAACATTAGGAAATCTAGAGATTAAAATGACTTGCTTATGGTCATATTCTAAGTTAATGACGAAATTAAAGCTTGGCTCCTATATGTAAACAATGTACACCAAGAGTGGACAAACCCCTCCTACTCACAGCTACTACTACTTTTACCACATCAACATGTTTACTTCCTTCGCTGTGCTTAAAACTACATAAAATGATTTTTATTATCTGTTATGAACAGTATTCAGTAAACATGAGGTGCTTAATTAAGTATTCAGAATAAAATTACACCGCCACTTTTTAAAAAAATTTTTATTAATGTTTTTGTTACAGATGTTTCTCATTTCTCCCCCTCTTCCCCAGCTTTGTTGTCTAAGTCCATTGGTTTGTATACATGCATATAAGTTCTGTGGTTTATCTCCCCCCGTCCCCAACACTCCCTCTTCTGGGGTTTGTTAGTCTGTACCCTACCTCTATGTCTCTGGGTCAATTTTGTTCATCAGTTTGTTTAGTTCATTATATTCCACAAATAAGTGAGATCATGTGATATTTGTCTTTCTCTGCTTGGTTTGTTTCGCTTAGCATAACACTCTCCAGGGTCCTCCATGTCATCTCAAATGATAAGAGATCTTTTTTTCTGCCACTGTGTACGTGTACCACAGCTTTTTAATCCACTCATCTACTGATAGATACTGGGTTGTTTCCAGATCTCAGCTATTGTAAACAGTGCTGCTATGAACATGGGGGTACATATATTCTTTCTGATTGGTGTTTCCGGCTTCTCAGGGTATATTCCTAGAAGTACGATCACTGGGTCAAAGAGCAGTTCAATTTTTAAGTTTTTGAGGTAACACCATAGTGTTTTCCACAGTGGCTGCACCAGTCTGCATTCCCACCAGCAGTGTACTGAAGTCCCCTTTTCTCCACACCCTCGCCAACACTTGTTTTATGATTTGTTGATGGTGGCCATTCTGACAGGTGTGAGGTGATACCTCATAGTTGTTTTAATTTGCATCTCTCTGATGATTAGTGATGTTGAGCATTTCTTCATATGTCTCTTGGCCATTTGTTTGTCCTCCCCACTCTTTCTTGTGGTTTGTTTTTTGAAGGGGGGAAGTCACTTTGTTTTTGTTGGAAGTAACTGAATGCAAATCTGGCTGTATTATAACTCAAATATAGTCATCAATTTAACTTAAAAATAGTTAAAAATGATGAAGATAATTAACAATGATACATTATAAGAAATGTAAACTAGTAGGATGGTGTTTTTTTTTAATGATTTGTGACTCACTTCAAATAATAATTACTTCAATAATTTTTTTTAATAAAATGACAATAATAAGGTATAGAAAAGTTTCTTCTCAAACAAAAATTTATAGGTTTATCTACTAAATATCATCACTTAGGCATGGCCAGAATTACTGCATTTAGTGAGAATTTAGCATAATTTACAAGACAATCATAGAGATTTTAAGACAACCTGGAAAAGCTTTATTAATAGGGAAAACAAGAAAATGGATCTCCTTTGCCCTAAGATGACTGATTTAAAATTGTCTAGACAGGGATGCTCTAGACTCTTTCTTATGTTCTATCTTCATTATATTCCTTAGCGCTTGTTGACTTGAGTAGTTTTCTGAGTATAAATTATTGTTTATCATACATCCTATATAAATGAGATTAAAAGACTTGGTAAGTAGTTACTCTCTCAGGTAGTAAATGAAAAAGTGCTATCATTCAATCTTTTCTTTAAAATAAAACCAATACCATAAATTTCTTTAAACTTTATTTTAAAAACACACTTAAGTATATTCCAGGGTTTTGTTTTTACAGCATTCTTTCTCTAAAAGTATTGCTTATACCATTCACATGGCACTTAGTACACATTAGGTCACTTTATTAATATTTTTATTTCTGCCACCCACACAGATTTTCACTCCCATGTATGCAATATATTTGTATTCCTAAAATGCAGCATCAAACAGGTACTGCATGAATATCTGTTTTAATTAATGAAAAAAGGCACCTAGCCCTGGCCGGTTTGGCTCGGCGGTTGGAGCATCGGCCTGCGGTCCAGAGAGACCCAGGTTCAGTTCCCACTGGGGGCATGTAACTCGGCTGCAGTTTGTCCCCAGCCCTGGTTGGTCGTGTGGATGGCAGCCACTCGATGTGTCCCTTTCACATCGATGTTTCTCTCTCTTCCTCTCTCTCCCTCCCACTCTGTCTGAACAAAAAATGGAAAAATGTCCTCGGATGAGGATTAAAAAAAAAAAAAAAAAGGCACCTAAAGTGGTAGAAACATCATCAAGCTAGAATTCAGGAAACAAGTTCTGCCCTTGTGTTGTAACCTGTGAACAAGTCTCTTTGCTACCTCTGCACTTTGAACTAAGTAGTTTCTGGGTATTTTCTAGCTCTGGGAAGTGAAGCTTCTAATGAATCAGAATAAAAACATCTGTAACAAAAAATTAATTAATTAAAATAAATAAACAGGTTTTTTTCTGTTTCTTCCCTTAGAAATTATTTCCAATCCTCTTAGAAACTGGAATGATTGCCCAGCAGGTGTGGTTCAGTGGTTGAGCGTCGACCCATGCAACAAGAGGTCACCGGTTCAATTCCAGGTCAGGGCACATGCCCAGAGGTTGTGGGCCAAATTCCCAGTGGGGGGCATACAGGAGGCAGCCAATCGATGTTCTCTCTCATCAACGTTCCCGTCTCTCACTCTCTATCTCTCCCTTCCTCTCTCTAAAATCAATAAAGAAAAATATATTTTTTAAAAAGAAACTGGAATGATCAACCAGTTTGTGGATTTACAGCGATCTTTGTGACTTTCTTCTCTAGCTACCTATTTACAAATTACTCACTGCTCAAGAGCATCTCCCCGCCACAGTAGGCTGGTGTAAGAAATAAAAATAAACCTTATATGAGGTTATTATGTAATAAACCTTAAGTAGCCCTGGACCATTTGGCTCAGTTAGAGCGTGGGCCCACGGACCAGAGTGTCCCAGGTTCGGTTCCTGCTAAGGGCACATACGTCAGTTGCAGTTTGTCCCCAGCCCTGGTTGGGGTCATGTGGGTGGTAACTGCTTGATGTCTCTCTCACATCAATGTTTTTCTCTCTCTTTCTTCCTTTCTCCCTCCTGCTCTATCTGAAGATAAATGCAAAAAAAAAAAAAAAAAAAGTCCTCGGGTAAGGATAAAAATAAATAAATAAACCTTAAATAGAATAACCTTATTATATTTCAAACAGAACTAATGGCTGGTTCTACCAGTTGACAGGAAAGCAGGTATTAATCCTAGATTTATAAATAGTGTAGACTTCATTTTAGCCCTAAGATACTACTTACTGCTTAGGAAGGAGGCAAACATCTTATTTTACTCAACACCTTTTTTTTCTTTTGTTCTCCCCACTATTTGTTGTTTGAATGTAGTCTATCCTAGAGTTATTTACTATAAACCACACTGTCCAAATCCCATGTATCCTTTCTATACACTGAAGCATTTGGTTACACACTGCTTAGGAAGTCGATTTTTTACAACACTTCTATGTGTTGTATGTTTTAATATCCTGAAATAAAATTTAGAGACTGAATTCCAAAAGAGTTTACATAGTCAGAAGAGCTTAAAAATGCCTTAAATTACTTAGGTGCCTTATGGTATTTAAGTATCCATAAAGAACTGCACAAATGCTTTTGTCTAAATACTAGAAAGGACTGGAAATGTCTTCTTGTTTATGGAACGCTGAACAAGAGAAATAAATTAGTATACATAGTAATTTACAATATAGAATAAGAGTACTCATGAAAATACTTAAGTAACTGAAGAAAATGAAAGAACATACAAGCACTGTATAATTGAATATGCTTTAAACATATTTATGATATGATTCCACTAAGTTTAATTTGGCAAGTAAATGTAATTATTCTCTGTGAGATAATAAGATTTACCAGTAGTAAGGAAATACTATACCTGATAACAGAGCAGCAATTTTGAATCCAGTGTCAGAAAGAAATTTTTACCTTTCTGGGCTTTCATGGTCTGTTCTTCAATTTGCCTTAGACGTTCCATTAGCTCTTCCTTTTCACGTTCTATTCTTTCCTTTTCCTTTTCTGCTATTTCTCTTTTCTTCTTTTCATTCTCTAACTGTGCCCTGAAAAGGAATCACATTAATTTGTTACAATAACTAGAATTATCCACATGAAATCTAAGTACTGTGAATCAACTCAGAAGAAACTATAGCATAAACATGTCTTCATTATATTCAGCGGTGTTTTAAAAAAATCATGTTAAAAATATAGGAGTACCCTGTTACATACACATACAATGGATTATGTGTGTCTTACTGTGGGATCACATTTTATAGTCAATCACTATTTTTGAAATATTAAAAACTTAGCCATTTTAGAAAATCTCAAAGGACAAATTTTCAAAACTGCTAGGAAAGTAAAACTGTCAAATCTATCTCTTGTGTGCAAAGCAATTTTTAATGCAGACTTGTGTGGAGAAAAAAAAAAGGAGATTTATCACATGCATACTCAATGAACTTTGACTATAAATTAAAGGTCAGCACAAAAGGAGTTAACTGCACCGTTGCCATATCCAAAAAAAAAAAAAGACTTCTTTAGCTTAGCAGGAGCTTGAAGAGAGCACACACATGGTTGTTTTATTTTAAACAGTAAAATAACCTTGGTGGGCAATAATTTTCAATCATTAACAATAAATTAATGCAAGTTTAATTTCAAAGGTAGAACCAATTTATGCTTAGATACGAGATGAAAAATCAGTTATGCATCCTTTAACAATTCCATTGGCGTGAAAGTAAGTATCTATTTAATGCTATTTTCAAAGATCATCATGAGAGCTAGGTGGAAAAACTAGCTCTATCATTTAGCTGCATCTGTCATGGACATAATGAGACTGTTTCTTTTAAATATAGCCAAATTCATTCACTGAGCATCTACAGAGAGCCAACCATGGGTATGTTGAGGGCCAGAAATATAAAGATAAATAAGAAGTAGATGAGACGCTATGTTAATCATCAGAAATGACACAAAATACCTACAATAGGCGGGTGTGTATCTGAATCTAAACTGTAAACTCAAGGCTCTTAGTTTTTAAATATGGTAACAATTTAGCCATACAAAAAAAACCCAGAATCACAGAATGAATCATCATCAATTTGGATGCAAATAATTTCAATGCAAAGACTACAGAGATCATTAACCCATGGTATAAAACATATAATACCATTTTCAAAGTGAAAAACCCAAAGCTAGGAGAGTTACAGGATAAGAATCGGACCACATATACCAAGGTATTATAGGGAAAGAGGCTTCCTTGCTGCTCTGCCCCTTCCCAACTACTGTTCTTGCCCAAGAGAGTACAGCAGCACAGGCAGCATACCTCCAAGCATTCCCCCAAGTATGTCTGCTGGCTACTTTGCCAGTGGGCTTGACCAAAATTATTTCCACATATTCAAGTATCATTTCTCTCTCTCTCTCTGACCTGTAAAGCAGGGAATAAATGAAGATTTGGCATGCCCTTTCTGACACCTGCCAAATCCCTACGTTGCTCATATAAAACATCCTCTAGGTAGTCAAATGAATTAAAACAGTTGCTGAATTCCCATTGTATACAATGTTTGCTAATGAAAGGCTATAAAATTTATCCAAGACAGGAACCATAGGATTTTTATTGTGGCAAAAAACAAAAGTTAAAATCTTCCACTTTCATCTAGTAAGTAAAATACAGCACCATTACCAAATGGTACTTAATCATACTCCATTTATTAAAACCATATAGCACTCTTCTCTATGTGCGAGAAATAAAGAACAAGTAGACAAATATATTTAAGAATGTAAATAACATAACATTATAGACAAGCAGACAGTTAGGACATTGATGAGTATGCAATACAGTCGGCTCTCTGTATCTGTGGGTTCCTATCTGTGGATTTATCCAACCATGAATCAAAAATATTTTTTTAAAAGTTACATTGTTGCTGATGTGTACTATGTAGTTAGGCCTACAATGACTGTGTCTGTATTGACTATGTACAGACTTGTTTTCTTGTCATTGTTCCCTAAACAATACAGTTTTGCAACATTTACATAGCATTTACATTGTATTAGGTATTGTAAGTAATTTAGAGATGATTAAAGTACAGGGGAGGATATACATAGGTCATATGCAAATACTACACCATTTTATACAAGGGACTTGGATATCCATGGGGGTCCTGGAACCAATCCCTCATGGAGGATGACTATAATTTCTGAATATATAGAAAGTAATGCCCAATAAAGAACAATTTAAAAATGCACCTAATACTAGAACCCATGTGATTCTAAGCCACATTGAGAGCAATAAAAAATGACAGCCAGTTAAAGAAACAATCCAGCCCTGACTGGTTTAGCTCAGCAGTTAAGAGCATTGGTGGAGCCCTGGCCGGTTTGGCTCAGCGGTTAGAGCGTCAACCTACGGTCCACAGAGACCCGGGTTCAATTCCCGCTAAGGGCATGTACCTTGGCTGCAGTTTGTCCCCAGCCCTGGTTGGGTTGTGTGGGTGGCGGCCACTCGATGTGTCCCTTTCACATCGATGTTTCTCTCTCTTCCTCTCTCTCCTTCCCGCTCTGACTAAAAAATGGAAAAATGTCCTCAGGTGAGGATGAAAAAAAAAAGAGCATTGGTGGGCAGACCAAAGGGTTTGATTCCTGGTCAAGGGCATGTACGTGGGTTGCAGGTTCAATCCTCAGCCCTGGTTGGTCGGGGTCATGCAGGAGGCCACCAATCAGTGTGTCTCTCTCACATCGATGTTTCTCTCTCTCCCTCCCTCCCATTCTAAAAAAAAAAAAAAAAATCAATGGAAAAATATCCTCGAGTAAGGATTAACCAAAATAAATAATCCAACTTAGTATCTTTAATGGTAGGTCAGAAATTACTGGAAAATTTTATGCCTATATAAAAAATGTTTTATAATAGAGTAAACTCTAAGGCAGATAAGTTGAGGGGAGCAATCTAAAAACAGATGTGGCCCTGGCCGGTTTGGCTCAGCGGTTAGAGCATCGACCTGCGGTCCTGAGAGACCCGGGTTCGGTTCCCGCTAAGGGCGCGTACCTTGGTTGCAGTTTGTCCCCGGCCCTGGTCGGTCGTGCAGGTGGCAGCCACTCGATGTGTTCCTTTCACATCGATGTTTCTCTCTCTCTCTCTCTCTCTCTCTCTCTCTCTCTCTCTGTTCCTCTCTCTCCCGCCCACTCTACCTGAACAAAAAAATGGGAAAATGTCCTTGAGTGAGGATAAAAATAAATAAATAAATAAATAAATAAATAAAAACAGATGTGAATTAGAACATTTAAGAAAAATTGCATCATTAAATAGAAACACTAAGAGTACTGGAAGCAAAATTATATTTAGCAGAGGGCCTATTTATTAGATTCAAATAATGTAATTTCTAGTATGTTTGAAATATGTAGTTACATATATTTAGGTCTCCTCAATTTTGTTTTCTTTAGGACCTACTCTGTTTCTTAGATTACCATGCTATTCTACAAAGATTGTTTTTCTTTTTTTTTAAATCCTCACCAGAGGAAATTTTTCCATTTATCTTCAGATAGAGTATGAGGGAGGGGGGGAGAGAGAGAGAAAGAAACATCAATGTGAGAGACACATTGAGTGGTTGCCTCCCACACAACCCCAACCAGGGCCTGGGACCAAACTGCAACCGAGGTACTTATCCTTGACTGGAAACGAACCTGCAGCTCTTTGATCTGCAGGCTGAAGCTCTAACTGCTGAGCCAAACTGGTTAATAATGGTTACAAAGATTTAATAATGGTTAACTTCAGTTTGGTGCCTAAATTTTTTCAACTAAACCATAAAGTTCAAATTAATCTAGAATCAGATTTGGGAATTTTGTTGTCAGATCCAGTCATCTGGTTTCAGGCTCAACAAGAATTTTACTCACTCTTTCCATTTCAATACTCTCAATTTAATATAGTTAATAGTTTCTTCTTTTGAAAACCTAAGTGAACCACAGTTAAAAAGATCAGTTTTGTGGACAGGGAGAACCGGTGTTGTTATACTCTGTACACTGACTTTTTGAGTTCTACAATGTCCATGGCATTGTTTAAAAAAAAAAAATCCAACATGTTCTTACCCTGAAAAATTAAGAAATGTAAGTCACAAGCAAGACAAAGTTGAAATTCCATACTACATCCAAGCCAATGTCTGTCAGTGACAAGCAACCATGATAAAAGCACTGGAAATCATGAAAAGCTATTTACTCAGAAATATCAGTCAGATTTCTAACTTGAAAATTGTACATATTCATTGAAAAAGAGGATGGTAATAAATACTGTCATTCAATATTAACACAATGAAAATAACGTAAAAAGGTAAATTCCAAGTATGTTAAAGAATAGCCTACTCCAATCAATCCAGAATGAAAGGCTGTAAATTCCATACCTTTCCAACTGCTTCTGATGTTTCTCCTCCCTAGCCTGAGCCTTCATCTGTTGTACTTCAATGGTGTCAGGCTTCCTTCTTCGCATGTACAGTTCATGGTTTCCCATACACAAGGCCAAAATCCGCTTATTAATTCTCAGACGAGGTGCGTAAAAAACAAAATCCTAAACATAAAAGTATTCTCAATTTAAAATCTTCCTAAAGGATAGAGTCTCTCACCATAATCTGTACTAAATTTTAATATGTGGTATGAATTCTAAGGATACATTACATATAGTTTGAAATCAATGCATTTCTGAACTCCTAGTAAGCAGGCCATACTTTCACATGGCAGGGTCCTAATCCTCTCATTCCCCATCAGTTTTGTGGAGAGAATAAAATTTTATACTCTCAAGATATTAAGTATTATTTTTTTTTCTTCTACAAAGAAACTACTAGCATCTGTTCCTCCACCACAGGAGGGTTTTTGTTTGTTTTACCTTTTCCATATTTATCTCAAAAATGGCCATCGTTCAGGGCTGTCAAGTTTTTAAACCTACAGTATGCTTAACATCAGAGGTATCAAAGAATGTATTTCAATATGAAGATTTAAGTTTAAGGTTTCAAGTTACAAAAATACAATGTTCATGACGCAAACTCTGTAAACAGAATTAACACAAAATAGGGCTACCTGTGCAACATTCTAGATGCCAACAAACACAATTCTTTTAATTGTTTCCTAGGAATGGTAATTATTTTCAACTACCTCCTAATGCCTTGTAATTAAATTTCAGTTAAAATAAAACTCTAATATTTATGTGTTGTTAGAAAAATTAAAACCTGGTATTTTTAATAACACATTATTTTGTTATTAAAAATACAAGGTAAAAAAGAATATTCCTCAGGAGCAACTCAATAAATGAACGATTTCATTCTTCAAGTAATACCATAGCAAAGAGGCAGACATTTAAAATACATAAAATTTATTTTTAAATTTTACTTACAGGTGCCTTTTTGTCGATTGGCTTTATAACAAATTTTTTGTCATTAAATGAAATATTTCTGATTTCACTCCAGGGAAAACCAATTTTAGGTGTTAACCTTAAAAAATGAGAGCATGCCTTTAGTCAGAAGCAGAAAACGATAGAAAAAATTCCTATCAACTTTTTGAATGACTAGTGTTCAGGATTCCAAATTTTCAAAATGTATTAACTTACTCATAATAGACTGTTGACATTATCTTTTAAAGGAAAAATTTGATCAATTAAATCACATAAAATAAAGAATATGCCAAAAAATTCATAAATGTGTCATTAACCTTGATTTTCCTAAAATTACCTAGAGAAAACTATCTAGTTCTAGAGTGTAGAACTGAGCTCTCAGGGTTTGCATTAGCTCTACTTAGAGTCAAGCTACTACAACTATATAATTTAAAGATGTTTAAGAGAGGGGAAAGAAAGATGGCTTTCACAACTTTTCATGTGAATTATGGATGTAAGTTACTAAATATAAAAAATTTATTTCCTTCCCATTTTAAAATGTTTGCATTATTTATGAATACACTAAAAACGCTGAATTTTCAGTTCACTTTAAAACGCTTAATTTTAGCCAGGCTGGAATATCTCAGTTGGTTGAACTTCGCCCTGTGCACTGAAAGGTTGCTGTTTCAATTACCAGTCAGGGCACATGTCTGTGTTGTGGATTCAAGTCCCAGTCAGGGCACATAGGGAAGGCAACTGGTCAATGTTTCTCTCTCACATCACTATTTTTCTCTCTCTCCCGACTCCATTCCTCCTCTCTGCACACGTCCTTGAGTGAGGATTAAAAATAACAACAAATAAAAGGCTTAATTTTATGGTATATGATTTATATCTCCCACAAAAAAATTTTATATACTCATATACATAAATATTCGAACAAATAGAACTAAAAAAATTCTAACTCTACGACTATAAAACAGTTGCCCCCATTTACCACTCTACATATAAAAATTTAGAGGATCAGATTGGAACAAGAAATTTTGTTTCTGCTTTTCATAAATTTTACTATTTCAAACAACCCATCAAATGTGTCACTGCTATCCAATAACAAGAGCATGAAATGACTATGACACCTATGTTGGCCAAAAGGTAAATTTAGTTAGTGTTCTGATAACAGAGTATGAATTTCTACCTATTTATAGTTCTTTTAATTCTTAAACAGACTGATGGCAGTACAGCAAATAATTTTTTCTACAAAAAAACATTCTTTACTCAATATGCATGCATTATACTGTCCCCAAATGGCCAAGATAAGTCAAAGATACCTATTTAAAAGGGTGTTAGAGCATTACTTTTAAAGTAATATTATACTACATTTACATGTTACTTTTTAAAATTTTAAAGCAATTTCCTCATACAATTCTCACAATAATCTTGTAAGGTGACCCTGGCAGTTATACAAATTTCAGAGAGTTAATAACTTGATCAGGGTTACAAAGATAATTAGTAACAGAGCTGATAAAAGAACTTAACTAACCTTTAAAGTTGCACCCTATTTTGATTTTTTTTTAATTTTGGAAATGTAAGTAATAGATGAATACATTCTCATTATTAAAAGAAATTAAATCATTAAAGACCAAAAGACCCTTGGTCCACAATCCCCAATCCCTCCCTTCTGCACTGATCTAACCCCCTTGCCTTTTTCATATTCCCCATCTCCCCCCCACCTTCGCTCTCCCTCTCCCTCTCACATTTAATGAGTACTCTAACAGAAACTAATTCAATGATTTTTAAAAGAAAGAAAAAAGGATTTGGCCTTATAATAGTCTTAAAGTTATTTTTGCTTTTCAAGAATTTCAAGCTTCCCTTCTAAATGATATAGCATTTAACTTGCTTTGTGATATAAATGAAAAAAATATACCAGAGTAAAAGAAGTATAATGCTCTCTTTTGGAGTCATCATGTATATGCTTAGAAATGTGTGTTTTATCAGATATCTGTAATAATGAAACTAAAATACTGGAGCCAACCCAGACTGAGACTGCCTTTGCAGAAGGTACTCCTGGCACAGGCGTGAGCACTCTCGTGTGGTGTGGTGAACAAAGCACAGAAAGGCAGGAAGCAACTGTAGTGATCATTCATGAAGTGGCCTATTTCATATTAATAAAAAAAATACCAGGTCAGTTTCAAAATAAAATTATACTGTTCACTATTTTTAATACAGGGATATTCTACTTTATTAATATCCAAAAATATTCAAAACAATTCCTATAAATATTCAGTAAAAAGGTGTTACAAAACAATAAATCACACATCTTTTAATTTCATTGTCTCACTGCTCCTGATTTCTTATAGATCTTAATTTCAATTTCAACCTGTATGCCAGGCATAACATTTAAAGAATTATTCTTCACCTATTGAGGGAACAAATTTTAATTAAGTTACTAGACATAACTCACAAGGGATCAAGAAGCACACATCAAATAAAAGTGATTCTTCCCATTTTGAGAAATACACTGAGAAGTAAACTCCAAAACCATAGTATGTTGAGACAATGAAAATATGATATCTGAAAGCCTATGTAACATTAATTTATATTTTCATTTGAAAAAAAAAAAAGCAGTAAGGGCAATCAAGCCAGCTGATGAATGACTAGTTAGCTATTTACTTACTTGTCATCATGCTCATAAATATTCAGACCCAAAGCATCAACACCTAGCCACAACTCAGTTCCCTTTTTATTTTTTATTTCAAAATAGTTGACTCCATACATTTCTAGGTCCTGTGCAATCTTCAGGTATTCCATCACAGAGTCTTCCCTGTTGGAATAAAGCTTATTACAATGTATTTATGTAAGAGAAATATCAAATTACAAAAACAATTTGAATTAAAATTCAGTGCTTTATTCATATAAATCAAATGATCTTTTGGGGATAATCTGATATAATAATGTTATGAAATAAAAATACTTTAATTTGAAGAAAACAGCCACCCAAATACCTTAGCATTCCTCTATGTTCTTCATGCCAGTTCTGTATTCTTTCTTCCCATTGCTCTTTTGTCAATTTGTGTTGTTCTAAAACACTATAATGAAAAAAAAAATCTATGAAACTGCCATGACTGAAAATCAGTATTTTTTAAAAGTCTAGAATCATACCCTCACTGTGATGGTTGTCATACATATCTATACACAATCAAACTGCACAGAATAAACACACACACACACACACACACAGAAATGACTGCATGTAAAACTGATGAAATCTGAATAAGTTAGGTGAATTGTACCAATGTCAATATTTTGACTGTGATAGTGTACTAAAGTTATGCAAGATGTTACCATTAGGGAGGGCTGGGAGAAGGATACACAGGATCTTTCTATTATTTTACAATTGCATGTGAATCTACAACTATCTCAAAATAAAATGTTTCCAGGATTCAGAAATTATTTTAAAAACCACATTTTAAAATAGTTATTAGATAGTTTCTAAGAATTCAAATGTTTCGAATGAATTTTGAACAAAAAAGAAAAAATGACTTGTTATTAATAGAAAAATGAGAACAGACTGAAAATCAGAATTCTTAGACCTTAATTCTTCTTTAACTATATGTATTTATTTTTTGTGCTGCTAAACTTAATATTCTACAGGTAATACTTTATATAAAAGTGAGAAGTCATACTTTTTTCCACCACCCGTGCCCACCAAATAACTTTTCATTAGTTTCTCTTGTATCCTTTCAGTGTTTCTTATGCAAATATAAAAAACACACCAACTGTATTTTGTACTATTAATATTTTAACACCAAATCAGCATATTCAACATGCATATAATTTACCTACTATGCACACTATAGAGTATGTATTTCTATTCTCTGTGGGTGATATAATTATTTATCTTTACTGGTGAATCCCCAAATCCTACTTTACTGATAGCAAAAGTACTGTTTTGCTATATAAAAATTCTCCATGAAACCCAGGGATTTCTTGGCAATATAAAGAAATCTTAAGCCCGGCCAGTGTGGCTCAGTGGTTGAGCATCGACAATGCACCAAGAGGTCACTAGTTCGATTTCCAGTCAGGGTACAGGCCCATGTTAAATCCCCAGTGGGGGGCATGCAGAAGGTGGCCAATCGATGATCTCTCTCATCGATGTTTCTCTTTCTCTCTCTTCCTCCCTCTCCCTTCTTTTCTCTCTAAAATCAATAAAGAAAACAAATTAAAATAAGAAATCTTAGGATGCAATATGCCCTTGGACAAGTTACTATTGAGAATAGATTCCTTAATGAGGTCTCAGACAATTACATTCTTTTTTTTTCCCTCATCTAAGGACATTTTTCCATTTTCTGTTCAGATAGAGTGGGAGGGAGAGAGAGGAAGAGAGAGAGAGAGAAACATCAACGTGAAAGGGACACATTGAGTGGCTGCCAACCAGCGCCGGGGACAAACTGCAACCGAGGTACATGCCCTTAGCGGGAACCAACTCTGGACCGCAGGCTCACGCTCTAACCGCTGAGCCAAACTGGCCAGGGCTACATCCTTATTATAAACCATTCATTTGTCTATGTACTCTTTTTTAAACCCTTGCTTTTGGGGAAAGAAGTTTTGTCTTCTTCCTTAGAGCTCTTAAATTTCCACATTTTTCTTGTCTTTATCCTCTCTCTGCTCCTCACCAACAGGAACGCAACCTGCCTTGAAGGCACAATTAGTTTAGCCAATCGTTGGTATCGGATGTTAACTGAAGGTACAGGATGTAAATCTGAAGGTATGGGTTAATTAAATTGGATGCCACTAAGATTTCTGCTATAACTTTTATATCCTGAATTTCAAATATCATTTGTTTGCATTTTGCATAATGTACCTGTATTATTAAGTCTGCATGACTGACTGGCAGGTATCCAAAATTCCTACCCCCTTTTTCTTCTGTCTAGAACAAAAAAGCCCTTCTTTCATGTCTAAGGCCAATCTATTCAACTTGACTTTAAATTTATCTGGGCCTTTAAATGACTTTTCCCTCCACTTCCTCAGGATCTTCACTCCACCTTTTATGGCAGGGGACATATTTATTGTTTTCTGTCTACATATATTAGTATCTATACTTATGTGTTACAGAAAGCAAAAACCACATCAAAATAAATTATTTCCCATCTTGTACAAAACATGTCTAGAAATCCATGCTTTGCTACTCCTAGTTTTTTTTTCCCCTTCTTCTAAAAAGCAACTGTCTTTTGAGAACTGTACATATCTACTACCCTTCAATTCCATACCTCACATCCACTGCCCCCCACCATCTACCACAATCTGGCTTTAATCCCCAACACTCTACTAAAACAGCTCTTTCTACGTTCACTACCAATCTCCTTATTGTTATGCCAAACAAACACATTAGTTTCCTTCATACTTGACCTCTTTGTACTATTTGACACTGCTGACCAGTCTCTCCTTAAAGCATTATTTCACCTTGGCTTCCATGATGTAACACTCCTCTGGTATTAATCATAATATACTTTAGAGTAACCTCTTCCTCTGTACTTACAAGTAAAGTTCAAACAAGGTCTATCCCAGCCCTTTTTCTTATTCAACATGTACTTTCAGGTCCATCTCTTTCATTCCCATCTATGTGCTAACTACTCCCAAAACTGTATTATAGCTCAAACTGCTCTCCAAGATGTGAACCCCACATCAACAAATGAATATTAGCTCCCTCTCGATTATACTGTAGGTATTTCAAACTCAGTTGGTTCAAAACTGAAATAACCTTCTGATTACTAATCTCCCCATATTTAGATAATGAGAAAAAGTGTGCTATATACCATATATGAAATAGGTCAATCATTGTGAAAGTATTTTCTCCATTCTGAAACAAAACATTAGTAGTATTCTAACATTACGAGTAAGTCTCTTTTAATCTTAGCTGGAATTCGTTCTCCAGAGACTATCAACTTGAAGAACAGCTAACTGTCTAGACTTTCAATGTCCAAGACCAACTCTTCAAGAAAATGTGCTATCTTCCTTCTTTTTAAATACAGTGGTTACAGCATACATGTATTTAAAATAAGAAATTGTGCCCTGGCCAGTTTGGCTCAGCGGTTAGAGCGTCGGCCTGTGGTCCGGAGAGACCCGGGTTCGGTTCCCGCTAAGGGCACGTACTTTGGTTGCAGTTTGTCCCCGGCCCTGGATGGTCGTGCGGGTGGCAGCCACTCGATGTGTCCCTTCACGTCGATGTTTCTCTCTCTCTCTCCCTTCCTCTCCCTCCCTCCCACTCTATCTGTACAAAAAATGGAAAAATATCCTCGGGTGAGGATAAAAAAATAAAAAAATAAAATAAGAAATTGTGCTTAAATGTGATTCCAGTGTTTAAGATTTTTTAAAATCACATGACTCTTAAATGTAAACCAGTTACTTCAACCAAACAGCAATCTGATTTAACATTGAAAGAACAACTATGTTATATTTGTTGAGATGAAATTGCTTTTTATGAATAAAAAAATTTTTCAGGGTAATTCTGATTATACACAATATTTACCTTCTATACTGACTTAAAACTTAATCTGCTGTACATTTCACTATATATAAATTATACCTCAACAAAAAATAAAAACTAATCCTTATCTGAAATGAAATTCTACTATGCCAATAATCAATTTCTCTATTCAGTGCTTTAAAAAATCTGAGAAAAAGAACTTCAGGTTGGAATAATAAAAACCAGACAGACATACAGACTAATAAGTATCTCATATTCCTGATTCTTTTTTTTTTTGGTATGTGCCCCTAGCGGGAACCGAACCCGAGACTCTCTGGTCCTCAGGCCGACGCTCCAACTGCTGAGCCAAACCGGCCAGGGCTCATATTCCTGATTCTGTTGGTGAACAATATGCGTTGTTTTACCTTCTAAGATAACTACTGTTGCAATAATGTTAATGAGCAAAATAATTTAACATTTAATAATCAAATATTAAAGCTATTGCACTTCTGCAACCCACTGTATGGAAAAGCATAATTGCCAATGATATATCTGGTAAGGGATTAATTTCCAAAATATAGAGAGTACTCATACAACTCAACAAAAGGAAGGCAAAGAACCCAATTAAAAAATGGTCAGAGGAACTAAATAGACACCTCTCCAAACAGGATATACAAATGACCAAGAGACATATGAAGAAATGCTCAACATCACTAACCATCAGAGAGATGCAAATTAAAACAATGAGGTATCACCTCACACCTGTCAGAATGGCCGCCATTAACAAATCATCAAACAACAAGTGTTGGTGAGGATGTGGAGAAAAGGGGACTCTAGTACACTGCTGGTGGGAATGCAGACTGGTGCAGCCACTACGGAAAACACTATGGTGTTACCTCAAAAAATTAAAAATTGAATTGCCATTTGATCCAATGATCCCACTGCTAGGAATATACCCTAAGAAGCCTGAAACACCAATAAGAAAGAATATATGTACCCCCATGTTCATAGCAGCACTATTTACAATAGCTAAGATCTGGAAACAGCCCAAGTGTCCATCAGGAGACAAATGGTAAAAAAAAAGCTTTGGTAAGTATACACAATGGAGTACTCTGCAGGTGTAAGAAAGAAAGATCTCTTATCCTTTGAGACAACATGGAGAGAGCTAGCGAGTATTATCCTAAGCAAAACAAGCCAAGCAGAGAATGACAAATATCACATGATCTCACTTATTTGTGGAATATAATGAACATAACAGTCTGAGGAATAGGGTAGACCCAGAGACACAGAAGTAGGGTACAGACAGACAACCCTCAGAAGAGGGAGTGGTGGGGAGAGGGAAGAGATAAACCACAGAACTTATATGCATGTATGCATAACCAATGGACATGGACTACAAAGCCGGGTACGGGGGGGGGGGGATGGGGAGGAGGGTGTCAATGGGGTAAAAAAAAGGAGAAACATCTGTAACAAAAGTAAATTAATTAAAAAAAAATTTTTAAAAGCTACTGCACTTCTAAAGCATATACCAACAGAATATACTGTTAGCTGAAAATAAACATTAATGCCTATAACCAAAGGAAATTAATAAAAGTGAACAAGATACAATTTAGTCTTTCTTCATATTTAGTTGCCTATGAAAAAGAAACTATATCAAAGAGCTTAACTACTATGAGGAAGTGGTGCAGAACTAAAATTTTAGGTTAAAAATATACAGCTTTGAATTTAAACAGAAATTTTAAAACTTGGGAATTTGAACTAAGAATAGTAACAATTCTCTCCGGTTCTAAAAGAAGTATCTCCACCCACATTCTAATATCAGAGATATGTGTGTTACAATGTAAGAATTGAGATATTTTAAAGTAATATCTGATGCTGTACTTTCTCAATTTCCTAAGTAATGCTACTTAAACTAACACTTGTATCACACGTTACAGTTAAAACTGTACACCGTACAGTTCATGACAGTAATTATAAATAATAAGGTAGGCAGAGCAGAATTATTATCCCATTTTGCAGATTCAGGGATTTTGGGTTTTTGCACCCAAGGTCACATAACTAGCAAAGAGCAGAATCAATACTCAAAATCTAGTGCCATGCTACTTTAAATAACTTATAGATGCAGCAGTATACCGGAGATAAGAACAGAGCATAAGACTAGTAGTCTAAAAACTGAGTTTAAAATACCCTTCTAAAAGTTAGAAACTCAATTTTAATTCTATAGAGGAAACACAGGCTGTTACTTATTACTTTCAAAAGCATTTAAGAGATTGTTGAATAGATTGTCTCCCTGTGTTTTTTCTAAGCAGCAACAGTCGCATCCTCCCCCAAGCTCAAATATCCATGGATTGCTTATCCTGTGGAAATGAGGAGAGAAGAGGCAGAAAGTTTGGGAAGTTGCAGACTATATAAATCTATGTAACTACTGAGTCACTATTTTAAAAAACTATACTCTGATTCAGCTGGCAACTTAAAATCTAAAAAAGAAAAAAATTTACAAACTTCTGAAATATAACATTTCAGAGAATATAACATAAAAGCATGTTTTACTTACCGCTGGGGTAGAAGCCTATCATTAGCCAGGTAGCCTGGTTTGTGAATCTCTTTGTTATAATCTCCATACTTGGCTTGGACAGCATAGGATGCCAGAAGGACTGCAGTTTCTGGTGGGCAATATATCTCATCATTTAAGATAGCCTCTTTAACTTGCAAGAAGAAAAGTCTCTGGGTTATTTCTTGAATTAATTCCTCAGAAACATCTTCAGGAAAAAATTTAGCTCTAAATTTGAACTGTAAAGGATTCTCTTTTTTAACATCTTGCTGTGTCACCTGGAACAGTAATTTCGAGTATATCAACAAAAATCTTAAGTTCAAAATAAATGAATCTAGTCACATTAGATTCTTCTTAGAAGAAAGTAGGATCTAAAACAGCAATACGATTATAAATCTGTAAAATTCTAAATCTGTAATATATGTAAGAAAAAAGATTCTATGCTCAAAAATATGACCTATAACTCACAGATCCTATCTAATAACCAAACTGAAACTTCTTGAGAAGCTTATTCTGCAGATGTTTAAATCAAAGTTAAAGTACTAAATTACACCTAATAGTATTTCTTATGTGTTAAGTTTTCAAAGAGAAAAAGTGAACATTTCTCTTTCTATGATAAGCTTATGGTGCCTTATTGAATTAAAAGATGTGACACCTTTAATGATTCAAAGGGAACTGCCAAAGGAGGCCTGAATCAGTCAGACCCTAAAAGCTTTTCTAGCACAAATTCAAGATCGTTAACTTCAAAGTAACTTGATTATTAACCGAACTTATTATACATACTTTACCTTTTTATTTAGTTTAAGCCATGTAGAATAACCTTTGCTGTCCACGTACTGCAGCCCAAAAAACCAGACTTCACGCAAACCAACTGTTTTCACCACCTTACCAAAAAAAGAAAGAAAAAAAAAAGTCCATGTCAGTTCAACATTCACACTACAACTAGATAGCACTATACTTCAAAAGAAGGAAAGAGCCACTTAAGCATCACAGGTATATTCCTTTGCTACAGAGAAGCTCTTTCCTAAATTTAACATGTTACAGTAACATTTCTAAAAACTTAAATTCAGGTTTGTATATTAAATTTTTAGTGTCATTTCAACCCATCATGATCCCAACAGATAACAAGAGGAGTCTGGGGAAACAGAGAGAGAGCAGTTATAATCCAATTTTCCTATTTCAATTTACCCCCACAGCAAATACTGCAGGCTGATGTAGCCACTATGGGAAAGAGTATGGAGGTTCCTCAAAAAAACTAAAAAATGGAACTACCTTATGACCCAGCAACTCCATTTCTGGGTATATATCCAAAGAATCCCAAAACACTAATTCGAAAAATATATATGCACCCGTATGTACAATTTACCTTCACAGCTATACTATTGGTTAGACAAGGCAAATGTCTCTGAAAACATCTAAATGCCATGCCCCAGAGGATCATCCAGCTGGTGATTTCACCCCTGCTCCCTCTTTCCTTCACTCCCCATATATGTTCTATATTCTTCCCTCACTGAGCAAGAAATCATTCTTGGAACATGCCATGAATTTTACCCTCTACAGCTTTGCTCGTGCTTTTTCCTCTGCCTAGAATGTTTCTTCTGTACTTTGACCACCTGTTGAATAATTTATTCCTCAAGGCCCAGCTCAACTAACTTGCCTTCTGTGAATGAAGCTCTCCTATTATCCAGACAAAATGAATCACTTGTCCCTTGATGTTCCCACAGTACTTTATACTGCTGTTAGAACATGTACGGTATCATATCATAATTAACTGTATTAGTAATATATCTATTTATTCTCCTTTACTGTCTAAAATTAAGGACAGAGATTATTTTCCTTATTTGTCTTAATATCCACGTTATCTCAAGAAATGATTAACTTGTAGTAGGCACTTAAAAGTATTAAGAGTAAACAAAGTGGTAAGCTAGGACCTATAGTCAGAATTGTATAAACACTTAATATAGTTTTTTAAATCTATATTTAAAATAAAATGAGGGAATTGAGCTAGAGGAGATGAGAGTATATTAACATTTTGAAAGCTTTACAGAAAGAGTCAACATTAATTCTTAAGTGGTAAATATTCTTGATTTTTTACTTTATTTATTTACTTTATCCTCACCCAAGGACATTTTTCCATCTTTTATTCAGATAGAGTGGGAGGGAGGGAGAGAGAGAGAAACATCGACGTGAAAGGGACACATCAAGTGGCTGCCACCCGCACGACCCAACCAGGGCTGGGGACAAACTGCCATCAAAGTATGTGCTCCTACCGGGAACCAAACCCGGGTCTCTCTGGACCGTAGGCCAATGCTCTAATCGCTGAGCCAAACCGGCCAGGGCTTGGTTTTTTTACTTTTAAATCTAAAACCATTCCAGGCTTTTGGTTTCAAGATAGCAAACTGAACCCTTCAGTTTACTTTCCCTCTTTAAAAAATTTCACTGAAATAACACACACAAAATTAAAAATAGGAAAAATCATTTAGCTCTGCTAAAGAAAGTTACTATAAAAACACACACACGCCCTGGCCAGTTTGGCTCAGCGGTTAGAGCATCGGCCTGCGGTCGGGAAAGACCCGGGTTCGGTTCCCGCTAAGGGCACGTACTTCGGTTGCAGTTTGTCCCCGGCCCTGGTTGGTCGTGCGGGTGGCAGCCACTCGATGTGTCCCTTCACATCGATGTTTCTCTCTCTCTCTCCCTTCCTCTCTCTCCCTCCCACTCTATCTGTACAAAAAAATGGAAAAATATCCTCGGGTGAGGATTAAAAAAAAAAAAAAAAAAACACACACACACACACACAAAAACTGAGTCCCTGGCAGGTTTGGCTCAGCGGTAGAGTGTCAGCCCACAGACCAAAGAGTCCAGTCAAAGGCACGTATCTCAGTTGCAGTTCCTCCCCAGCCCTGGTTGGGGTCATGCAGGAGGAAACCAGTCTATGTGTCCCTCTCACGTCAATATTTCTCTCTTTCTCCCTCCCATTCTATCTGAAGATAAATAAAAAAATATCCTCAGGTGAGAATTAAAAAAATTTTTTAAACTGAGAAATTTCTGGATGATATGAGATATAAAAACTCATACTGATGCAAAAGTTAATCAATGCCAAACAACAAAACTTTAACATGGGCAAAGAAGACCCCAGATAATTTAACTTTGACAAAAGATAGATTATTCCAACAAAGCCACAGAAAATATTCCAGCTCAGAGAAGCAGGGGTAGGAAATTTACACAGGTCAAGAGCAGTAAGACAGCAGTGTATCCAAGTAGCTGGCCTCCGCTTTGCCTCCAGGCATTGGTGACTCACAATGCCGGCTATATGGACTGCCACAAAGTAGGCACCAGAGACAGCACCTCAACTACCACAACAAACACAAGGAAGAGCAAGAGAGCTCAGCTGGGAAATTCCTCAGGAGGCTCTATATTATCAACAGCTCTTCACCTACTTCTGGAAATATTCTCAGAAACTTTCAATGACATACCTGTACAGGGTGAAGCAAAAGTCGGTTTACAGTTGTGACTACATAAAAGTTTTTTCCTTGTATTATTATTTATTAAGTATTGTATTATTTTCCATATGAACTATAAACCACTTTTGCCCCACCCTGTATAAGTAAAAAAAATTCTTGGGCACGTAACTACAATATATGCATATTTATTTATAAATTATACACGGGCACATTATTTTTAAAATAATTTGAAAGATGAAAGACAAAAATATAAATAGTTAATTTTTTTTTCTGTATCCGAATAGATCATGTTGAGCACTCCTTGAGAGTATGAACACTCTCCTTTAATCCCACAGGTAGAAGCTGGAAGAGGAGGCTAGTGAAGGAAGAGTCAGCAGGGAGCAAACAAAGAACCTTAAGCACTGAACTAGAGCCCCCTCCACACAGCAGCTGGCCTCAAGCAGTATCATAATTAGAAGAGAGACTTTGCTACAGGTATACTCATGCAGCTATGTACCATTATTTAAGAGGACCCTATCTCTAGGTCAACTCCTAACCTGACCCTGAACCTACCGACCTGCCAGCTCACCCCATATACTCACTACACCCAAGGTAAAGCCTGATTTTAGATCCTTGCATTCAGGCTCAGGAGAATTTGTCAGGAAACAGAACAGTGACTGTTAAGAATTGTCAAGAGCACCCACATCAGATAACAATACTCCTCATTCACAATATGAAATACAGTATATATGTGTGTGCTGTATATATGTATGTATGTTAAATATTGTTCTATGTACTGTACATGGAGTCTCAACTAATTCTCACAACAGCCTCTGAAGGGAGTAATGTTACCATTATCCTAATTGAACAAAGGAGAAAAATGAGGCAAATACAGGAATCTGTCCAAAGTGGAACAGCAATAGCTACTGCAGATGTGCTCCAGAGCCCACATTTTTAAACTACTGCTGCTCTGTAATAAATGAGGTTTCACTCTCCCTGGTTTCCAAACTAAAGCAATTCTGCCTAATAAAACACAAATATTTTACTTCTCAGTATCAATACCAAAAAGGCCCATTTGCTGGTTAGTTTTGACTATCCCAAGCATTTCATTTGTTATATAAATAACATTTCGCCCTGGCCGGTTTGGCTCAGCGGTTAGAGCGTCGGCCTGCGGTCCTGAGAGACCTGGGTTCGGTTCCTGCTAAGGGCGCGTACCTCGGTTGCAGTTTGTCCCCGGCCCTGGTCGGTTGTGCGGGTGGCAGCCACTCAATGTGTCCCTTTCACGTCGATGTTTCTCTCTCTCTCTCTGTTCCTCTCTCTCCCTCCCACTCTGCCTGAACAAAAAATGGAAAAATGTCCTCGGGTGAGGATAAAAAAATAATAATAATAAAAATAAATAAATAAATAACATTTCAACTTGCAATGAAGTACAGTAAATGCTAAGTCCATTCACATTTTATTCAAATAAAGATAAGCTATATATTTACAAACAGGAGACCGAAAAGAAATCAACAGAAGTGGGTATTAGTTTACAGGGTAAAATATTTATAATGTATGATGAATACAGATGCTTATAATTTTATTTTAAAAATTTGCTCACTCACACACAAAAAAGCCTTTCATCTTCCAAGAAGACCTCATTAGGGCTTTCAAGATCATTACCTAATATCACTTTGTCAAGAAAAGAAACAACTTTCCAGGAATTTTAAATGTTCATTATATTTTGCTTTAGTATGCGATAGAATGATCAAGATATATAACTGGCATCCTAGCCGGTTTGGCTCAGCAGTTAGAGCATTGGCCTGCGGACCAATGAATCCTGGGTTTGACTCCAATCAAGGGCACATACCTTGGTTGCAGTTTGGTCCAGGCCCCGGTCTGGAGGCAACCAATCAATGTCTCTCCCCCCCAACCCCATTTTATCTGAAGATAAATGGAAAAATATCCTCTGGTGAGGATTTAAAAAAAAAAAAAGATATATAACTGGCTATTTATTGCTGTAATGTAAGAAACTCTCACCCCCATTCTCTAAGGCAGTAATTTTCAACCTTTTTCATCTCATAGCACACATAAACTAACTACTAAAATTCTGTGGCACACCCAAAAGTGTATTTTTTGGCAATCTGACAAAAAAACAGGTATAATTGCTTTTTGTTGTTGTTGTTAATCCTCACCTGAGGATATTTTTCTATTAATTTTTCGATATTCGAGTGGAAGGGAGGGAGGGGGAGGGGGGAGAGAGAGGGAGAGAAAGAGGGAGAGAGGGAGAGGGAAGGAGGGAGGGAGCCAGGGAGCGAGGGAGAAAAACATCGATTGGTTGTCTCCTGCATCATGACCCTGTCAGGGTCAGAGCTAGAATCCACAACCCAAGTATGTGCCCTAGTCCGGGAATCAAACCCATGACCCCGTACATAGGTCCATGGGCTGACACTCTAACCAAGGTGGTATAATTGCTTTTTAATTTTATATATTGATTTGAGAGAGAGGAAGGAGGAGGAAGAGAGAGAGAGAGAGAGAGAGAGAGAGAGAGAGAGAAACTTGAATTTGTTGTTCCACTTATTTATGCATTCACTGGTTGATTCTTTTATGTGCCCTGACTAGGGATGGAACCCACAACCCTGGCGTATTGGGATGACTCCTACCAACTGAGCTACCCAGCCAGGACAAAATAGGTATAATTGTGATTTATTCATACCGGATGGCTATCGTTGTATTATTGGCTATTGTCATTTTTTTTTACTTGACCATCTAAGAGAAAAGAGGCCAATGCCCCTAACTAAATAGGCACTGAATGTTGTAAAAATTCTTGGGGCATACCAGTTAAAAATTGCTGGTCTAAGGTCAAGTTAGTCTGACTACAGACTGATGCTCTCTTGCTCATATGTACAAGTTTATGCAAAAGTTAGAAGTCTCAGGCCAAGTAAAATATATCACTTTCTTCCTCTTTGAAATAATCAATTCACCTTATCACTTCACCCCTGGGAACCAATCCCTTTCTCCGTCCTTTTCTCAATAAAATTTGATTACTACATACAGCACCACCTAAGGAGTTAAATTTTTTAAAAAACATAGACCCCAGATAATTGCATCTGTATCTCTGGAGGCTGTTTCTAAGCACTGCCTTTTTTTTTTTTAAGGCCACAGGTGACTCCAGTGTGCACTCAGGAAGAAAGAAAAGACAAGATCAATAATTTAAATTCCTTAACACGACATCTATGTTCTAACCCCAGGCCTACAAATGAGTCCATGACACCAAATGCCTACTTATAGCCTATGTGTCTGTGTCTTTGCTCCTGCCATCCCCTCTGTCTAGGAGCTGCATCCATTCCACTTTGTAGAATGTCTTTGAATTTCTTTTAGTCTTCATTACAATGATTTACACAGCAGATATTAAATAAATACCTGTTAACATTTATTTTTAAAATACCCTATCCTTCAAATCTAGGAATGAGAAAGAATATCTCTACAGCTGTTCAAGATATTTGAATAAGTGTTGTGAACAATTTCAGTGCTACAATGATGCATTATCAGTAAAGTACAGAAAAACACAGAAAGTGCAATAGCATGCATACTATGGTATCACAAGTTGCATACTTCATGAAGTTAAATGATACCTGGTCAAAAAGTTGTTTGCCAGTTGTATTGGGCTGGATGGCAAATTCCAGCTCAGCATCCATTGTGGTTACTCTTACATTGATCTGTAACAAAATAAATAAATAAATAAATAAATAAATAAATAAATAAATAATTAGTAGGAAAGAAAATACACTTATTAAGTATTAGGCAAAAAAATATATATTTTTTTCTTCATTGATTTTAGAGAGAGAGGAAGGGAGAGGGGGGGAGAGAGAGAGAAACATTGATGAGAGAAAACATCGACTGGCCACCTCCTGCATGCCCTCCACTGGGGATCAGGCCCACAACCTGCACATGTACCCTCACTAGGAATCAAACCGGCAACCTCTTGGTACATGGGTTGATGCTCAACCACTGAGCCATACCAGCCAGGCAAGAGAAAAGACTTATATCAAATTTCTAAAATTAAGTGATATAATATGCAGCCAGTAGAGAGCTATTCCATAATTATACCTAATAGTTTAACATAAAGTGGTAGATTTTAATTAGAGGAAATCTTAAATCGATTTGCAAAACAAAGACATAATGAAGTTTTTTAAGAACATTTATTAAATATTTAACATGTACTAGGCAGTAGGGCCATGAGCTTTCCATATTCTCATTTAGCCTTTGCAACAATACTAAGAGATACATTCATTTCCATAGAAACTGAAAGGGTTCCCATTATTTGCCCATCAACACATGAATATCAAATGTAGAGCAGATATTTATTTATTTATTCATTCATTTAATCCTCACCCGAGGACATTTTTGCATTTATCTTCAGATAGAGTAGAAGGGAGAGAGGGAGGAAGAGAGAGAGAAACATCAATGTGAGAGAGACATCAAGTGATTGCCTCCCACACTACCCCAACCAGCGCCAGGGACAAATTGCAACCGAGGTACATGCCCTCAGCGCAAACTGAACCCGGGACTCTGTGATCCACAGGCCGACGCTCTAACCATTGAGCCAAACCAGCCAGGGCTAGAGCAGGTATTTAAACTGAGGTATAACTCGGAATTGTTTGAATGTCGTTCATTATGTTATATTTCTTTAAACACAAAAATCGAATAGTTTTATTTATACTGCAAAAATATTCTTCACTTTACAAAAAGCATTCATCGACTGCCCTTTGTTACAAAAATTATATTTTAAACTCTAATTTTGTGTGTGTAAATACCTTTCTAGTTGGATTATCTCACCAAAAACATGTCTTAACCAAAATAATTGTAACTCCATAATTAGCATCTTTACCTAGAATTCATCATGATGTGATACAAACATATCTTTTAAACTTTAACTCCATTATTAGAATTCCAAAATAGACTTCTCCTTACCTGTTTTACTCATTCCAGCAACCACAACCTCTACACATACAGATCTTCTACCTTCTCTAATCAAACAAATCTTACAGATGGTTTCTTTTTTAAAGTAATATTATAAACTATTAACACACATAAAACAATATATGTAATATATGTATTCAATGAAACATAATAAAATAAAACCAACTGTGATATAATAATACATATTTGGTTTTAATCCTGGTTCCTGCCAGAGCTCCTAAAAGCCTTGGAATTTCCTGTGTGACAGATGTGAGGAGAATTTTTTTTGTCATTTATAACAAGTCCCTTTCATCCAACCAGAGTTTATGAAGTCAATGAGATGACTCTAGATGGGCTCCTAGACAGCTTCAGGATAGGAGGTGGTAGCCAGAGGAACCAATCATGTGATTAGAGCCACTCATCCCAACCAATCTCCAAGAGAGTGGGAACTGAATTCATCATCAATGGCCTATGATTTAATCAATCATGCCTACATAATAAAACTCTCATAAAAAGAAAGGGTTCAGTGAGCTTCCAAGTTGGTGAATGCACCAACATATAAAGAAGATGGTGCACCCAAATTCTACAAGTACAGAAGCTCCTATGCTCAGGACCATTCTAGACCACACCCTCTGTGTATATATCCTTCTTCTTCATCTGTATCTTTTATGTGTATCCTTCATAATATCCTTTATATTAACCAGTAACAGTAAGTAAAGTGTTTCCCTGAATTCTGTGAGCTGTTATAACAAATTATAGAAACTGAGGAGGGGATCATGAAATCCCCAATTTGTAGCCAAATTAGACAGAAGTGTGGATAACCGGGGACTTACTACTTGATTGGTGTCTGAAAGGTGGGAGGCAGTCCTGTGGAACTGAGCCATTATTAACCTGTGTGGTCTGTGCTAAACTCCAGGTACTTAGTGTCTGAATGAATTAAATTACAGAACACACAATTGGTATCCACATATAATCAAGAGAATTGCTGGGTGTGGAAAACCTACATATTTGGAGCCAGAAATTTTTTGAGTAAACAAAGTTTTCATTTACACCAATGACAAATTATGTTGCCTAAACCAGAGTATTTCTTCTTTCTGTATTTCCCTGTTCCCAATCCCCCACAGGTAAGCACTAACCTGAATTTTGTGTTTGTCATTCCCTTGCTTTTTAAAAAAGAATAGGTCTATTAAAATGTAAGTATCTATATGTAAAGTTGTTTTTCTTGTAAAATTTCATTTTTCCTGATTTTTAACTATATTAAAATTGTACAGTACTTACTAATCAAGTCTTCTTTCTTGATGTGGGCAATGGTTACATGGGTGTGTTTTATGAAAATGCATCAATCTATGATATATTTGATCAAAAGTTTAAAAAATATATATAGTAAACTGTAGTTTGTTTTTTCACAATTATAGTTCTAAGATTCACTAATGTTTTTGTGAGTAGTTGCAATTCATTTTTACTGCCATACAATATCTATATTAGCTAATAATTTATTTACCCATTTTCCTGTCCATGGACATTGTTTAAAATGTTTACTATTATGAATAATACTGCTATGAACATTCTTATACATGTCTTCTGGTGCACATTTGTCTAGAGGAGTTTCTCTAGAAGTATATACTCAGGAGAATCTCTGGGTGATAAATTATGCATAACTTCAATTTAACCATGTAATGCTAAATTGTCTTCCAATATGATGGTATTTAGTTAAAATCTCATCAATAGTGTGTAAAAATTCCTGCTGATCTGTATTTTCACCAACAGTGGGCATTATCAGAATTTTTAAAATGTTTGGCAATCTACTGCATGTAAAATGATTTTTTAATATGGTCTTAATGTGCAGATCTCTGATTCCTAATAAGGCTGAAAACATTTTCTGATGAGTGGTATGCAGAAATTTTATTTTTATGTTTTTATTGATTTCTTTTTTTAGAGAGAGAGGGAGATATAGAAACATCTATGTGAGAGATAAACATCTATCAGCTGCCTCCTGCACACCTCCTACCAGAAATCAAACTGGGACCTCTCAGTCCATGGGAGGAAGCTCAATCCACTAAGCCACACTGGCCAGACAGTCTGCAAAATTTTAAGATGGCCCCCATGACCTCCATCCCTGGTGTTACTCTCATGATTATGTTACATTACATGACAAAAGGAATTTTGCAGATGAACTTAAGGTCAGTTTATGTGGGTGGGCCTAATCATATGAATCCTATAAAAGCAAAGTGTTTTTTCTGAGTGGCTGCAGAAGTCAGAGATTCAAAATTCAGATAGGAATTTGACACAAAAGTAGGTTATCTATTGCTGAACTGGAGGGGTCGTGGGGCAAGGACCTGACACTAGCCTCTCGTCCTAGAGTCTAGGAGCTAAGAGTAACCCCTGGCCAACAGCTAGCAAGAAAATGGGAACTTCATCCTCCAGTAAAAAAGGATGAATTATTTTGCAAGGAAATCAATTCTGCCAATAAAAGGAATGAGTTTGGAAGAGAACCCCAAACTCCAGATGAGAATGCAACTAAACTAAACCATATTGATAATCTATAAAACTTCAAGGTAGATAAAGGGATGTTTTAAGCTACTAAATTTGCTATAGAGCAATACAAAACTAATTCATTTATTGACTTAGTCTCTTCATCTTTTTTGAAATGTCTATTCATGTTTACTGCTTATTTTTCTTTTTAAAAATATTTTCATTGACCACCCCCCCTCCCCAAGAGAGCAAAATATGGGATCAGCTGCCTCCTGCACACTCCCTACTGGTGATCAAGCGATCAAGCCTACAACCTGGGCATGTGCCCTGACTGAGAATCAAACCGTCAACCTTTTGGTGCATGGGACCCAACCAACTGAGCCACACCAGGCAGGGCTACTGCTTATTTTTCTAATTGGGTTGTTGTCTTTTCATACTGCTGTACAGGAAATCTTTACATATTCTGGATACTTTGTCAGTTGTTCGTGTTACAAAAATTTTTTCTCCCAGTTAGTAGTTTGTCATTCTGCTTTATAAAGTGCTCTTTTTATGGTAAACATTCTTAATTTTAAGAATTATCAATGTTGCCCTGGCCAGTTTGGCTCAGCGGTTAGAGCATCGGCCTGCGGTCCAGAGACCCGGGTTCGGTTCCCGCTGGGGGCATGTGCCTCGGCGGTTGCAGTTTGTCCCCGGCCCTGGTTGGTCGTGCGGGTGGCAGCCACTCGATGTGTCCCTTTCATGTCGATGTTTCTCTCTCTCTCTCTCTTCCTCTCTCTCCCTTCCACTCTATCTGTACAAAAAATGGAAAAATGTCCTCGGGTGAGGATGAAAAAAAAAGAATTATCAATGTTTATATACAGATTTTTGCATGCATAGTTAAGAAATATTTCTCTACTCTGAAATCATGAAGATATTAACTAATCAACATACATTTAATACATTTACTAAACTTTTGTTTTTCATAGCTGTCTTCAATGATTTTTGTTTATAATTTGAAGTAGTGGACCAATTTCATTTTTTTAATCCCCATAAAGATAAAGACTACTCTGTCACAAATCAAATGTCTATAGGAAGGCATGTGATTTTGTGCTAATTCCACTGTATTTAACTGTTCTGTCAATACCATACTTGTCTTAATTACACTATCTTTAAATTAGTCTTGATATCTGGTAGTGCAAGTCTCCCCTCATTATCTTCAGACTGTTTTAGCTATTCTTAGCTCTTTGTTCTTGCTCCTGGCTTCATATGAAATTGAAAACTTTTCATTATGAATCATAATCAATACTCTATTATGATTTAAACTGAAACTACACTAAATTCATTAATACAACACATTTTTGAGGGATGAGAAATGACATCTTTCCAATACTGACTCTTCTATCCATGGCTATGGTTCTCTCTGTACATTAATTTAGGTCTCCCTTAATATCTTTTTTTAAAATGTTTATAATTTTCTCCATAAAAATCACATTCATCATTTGTTACATTATCTTTTCCTTAGTTCATTATGGTTTTGTAGTAATTATAAATACAGGCCCATAATCACCTGACATCTAAAAATCATTTAAAACTAAAGTTTATTAGCTAATTTCTAGCAAAAATTTAACATGGAGTAATGTGAGACTAACTAGTGAATTAATTCACCCCACTTAAATGAATATTCACACACTGATCTATAGAAGTATTAATGCTTTTGAGGTAATGCAAAGAACTCAACAGAGGTTTCATGATATAATGACATGTACACATAAAAGTGGCACATCCACTTTTCTAAAACCCAGAAAACCCCAAATACTGAAACTCATCTAGCCTTAAGGGTTTCAAATATAGGACTGTGAAATGATAAAATATCTTTCCAAAATGTTTCTGGTTTTGCCTCTATGGAAATGCAATTGATTTTTATTTATATCAATCCTTTTATCAGTCCCTTGCCAACAGTTACAATGATCCTGTATATCTTTGTTTTTATTATAAACCAGGGGCCAGGAAACTTTTTTTGTCGAGGTCCAAATAGTAAACATTTTAGGCTCTACAGATTATACAGTCTGCTGCATCTACTCAACTATGCTGCTATAACAACAAAGCAGTTACAGATAATAAAGCACAGCCCTGGCTGGTTTGGCTCAGCGGTTAGAGCGTCAGCCTGCAGACCAGAGAGACCCAGGTTCAGTTCCCGCTAAGGGCATGTACCTCAGTTGCAGTTTGTCCCCGGCCCAGCTGAGATGGTGTGGGTGGCATGATGTCTCTCTCGCATCGATGTTTCTCTCTCTCTCTCTCTTGCCCCCTGCTCTATCTGAAGATAAATGCAAAAAATATCCTTGGGTGAGGAAAAATCAATCAATCAATCAATCAATCATACTATTTTCTAATAAAAACTTAGACAATGAAATTTGAATTTCATAAAATTTTCACACTTGAAACATTATTTTTACTTTCTTTTCAACCACTGAAAATGTAAAAGCATTCTTAGTTTACAAGCTACACAAAAACGTGGTGGGCTGGATTTGGTCTATGAGGCCATAATTTACCAATCCCTTATATAAAAGAAGAACCTTTTTTTTTTTAATCCTCACCTGAGGACATTTTTGCATTTATCCTCAGAAAGAGCAGGAGGGAGAAAGGGAGGAAAAGAGAGACACATACTGTGGTTGCCACCCACACAACCCCAACCAGGGACGGGGACAAACTGCAGCCGAGGTGCATGCCCCCAGCAGAAACTGAACCTGGGACTCTCCAGTCTGCGGGCCTATGCTCTAACAGCTGAGCCAAACCCGCCAGGGCTATAAAAAGAAGAATCTTAACATCTTTAGTGTTTCTTTCTTTTCAGTCCTTAAGCTTTCCATCCCTTTTTCTCTACAGGTTTCTGTTCAGTGTTGAATAATTTACATCTTTTGGTGGCACAGTATGTATCTTTTGTCTTGTTCCTGATTTTAAAGGAAATTCTTTCACTGTTAACCCATTAAGAACAGCTTTGGCCTTGGCCAGTTTGGCTCAACGGTTAGAGTTTTGACCCTCAGCCCAAAGCTCACAGGTGCAATTCCCAGTGAGGGAACATACCTGGGTTGCAGGTTCAATCCCTCACCCCAGTCGGGGTCATGTGGGAGGCAACTAATCAATGTGTCCTCTCTCACATCAATGTTTCTCTCCACATCCCCCCGCCGCACTCTCCCACCCTTCCACTCTACCTAAAAATCAATGGAAAAATATCCTCGGGGGAGGATTAACAAAAAAATTCAGGAGTGAGTGTTAAACTTTCCAACTTTGTTCTTTTTAAAAATTGCTTTAGCTATTCCATCTCCCTTTTCCTACCCTTTGCCACCACCACATAGCCCCCACTCCCCTTTCCCTCTGGCTATCACTACACTATTGTTTGCTTGGGATGACGGGCATACACGATGCAGTGTGCAGATGATGCTTTGTTGCATTTGTACACTTGAGACCTGTATGGTTTTGCAAAGCAGTATCATCCCAATAAATTCAATTAATTTAATAAATAAATAAAACCTATCAAAATCCCAAAAGAAAAAAATCGCTTTAGCTATTCTATATAAATTTTAGTTGGGCCCTGGCCAGTTTGGCTCAGCGGTTAGAGCATCGGCCTGCGGTCCGGAGAGACCCGGGTTCAGTTCCCGCTAAGGGCAAGTACTTCGGTTGCAGTTTGTCCCTGGCCCTGGTTGGTCGTGCGGGTGGCAGCCACTCGATGTGTCCCTTCACGCGATGTTTCTCTCTCTCTCTCCCTCCCACTCTATCTGTACAAAAAATGGAAAAATATCCTCGGGTGAGGATAAAAAAAAAAAAAAAAAAAATTTTAGTTGGGCAATTCCACATACCTTTTACAATCGGTTAATTTTAGTCAAAGAAGCCTGCTAGGATTTAACTGACTGGAAGTGTATTCAATCTACCATTACATTTAAGGATAATTGACATCTTAATGTTTTCTACACATACCTAGACAATATATACCTTTTTAATATATTTAGGTCTTTAATTTCTCAGTTTTCAATATAAAGATTTTGCATAGTTTCTGTACATTTATTTCTACATATTTTATGTCTTTGATACTGTTACAAATGATTTTGCTGATAATATATAACAAACACAACTGGGTTTTTTTAAAACGTAACCTTGCCAACAATCTTCAATTCAGTTATTAGTTCTAGTAGCTGTTGTTTCTGAGGATTTTCTACATAAACCGTCACATCATCTGCAAACAGAAAAATTTACTTCTTCCTTTCTGATGGTTATGACTTTTATTTCTTTTTCTTCTCTCCCTTTGCTACCTGTTGAGCCTTTAAAGTAATTCCAAAGAGATACCCATGCCAGAACATTCCAAAATAACCAATAATTTTCTTAAAAAGATAATTGGCCAAAAGAAAATTACTGAAAAATCACCCACATTTTGTTAAAGAACATTTATCCTAAGACAAAGGAATAAGACTTAGTCAAGAACCGCATAATCATAAAACTAAGTAAAATGAGCACACTTATACCCTTAAATAAAACATCTAAGCCCTGGCCGGTTTCACTCAGCGATTAGAGCATCGGCTTGTGGACCAGAAAGTCCTGGGTTCAGTTCCCGCTAAGGACACAGACCTGGGTTGCAGTTGGTCCCCGGCCCCGGGTAGGGTCATGTGGGTGGCAACCAATCCATGTGTCTTTCTCACATCAATATTTCTCTCTCTCTCTTCCTCCCTCTCTCCCTCCTGCTCTAACTGAAGATAAATGCAAAAATGTCCTCAGGTGAGGATTAAAAAAAAACATCTAAGACTATATAATATTAGTACTGGTATCAGCATCAAAGATAGAATTAAGATAAAATTAATAATGCACAATGAACCTCTCATTGTTTAACAGTAAGTTGTTATTTACTAAGCACTGAATGTGTACCAACTTCTACTAATCCTCACCATTTTATACATGAGGAAATTAAGAACTGGAGAGAATGAACTAATCTAACAAAGGTACTCAATTAAGTAGCAGAGCCAGAACAAGAACTAGGACCCATGAATTTTAATCTTAACTGCAATGTTACCAATACCTCTTCTTTACTAGCTTATATAATACTGCACTCTAGCCACATTAATCTAAAACAAATAACAGTAGTATCAATATCTTTTTCTTCTCAACAACTCTACTACAATACTTTGCTTTGTTCCAAACGAAACTTAATGCTATTTATTAAGTAAGTTAGTTGCAAAAGTAAAATAAAATACACTTACTGGTTTTGGCATGTTTCTTCTCTTTTTGTCACCTTCTTTAAAAATTCTTCACTTTTATAAATCCTGTTGTCACCTTCTGTTAAAGAAAAAGAAAGCTTAATGGATCTATTATCTTTTTTAACATAATGCTTTAGAGAAAATACATATGTTTATATGTACAGAATAAAATAAAAATTTTAATATTATATTTTTAAATTTTTATTAAATTTATTGGTGTGACTGCTTAATAAAACTATGTTTCAGGTATACAAGTCTAAAAAACTAAAATGTTTAGCCCTGGCCAGTTTGGCTCAGCGGTTAGAGCGTCGGCCTGCGGTCCGGAGAGACCCGGGTTCGGTTCCCGCTAAGGGCGCGTACTTCGGTTGCAGTTTGTCCCCGGCCCTGGTTGGTCGTGCGGGTGGCAGCCACTCGATGTGTCCCTTCACGTCGATGTTTCTCTCTCTCTCTCCCTTCCTCTCTCTCCCTCCCACTCTATCTGTACAAAAAATGGAAAAATATCCGCAGGTGAGGATTAAAAAAAAAACTAAAATGTTTTAAAATGTAAGCTTAAAGTAACAGAATTCTCTTGTTTTATTGTAATTTTCAATACTTTCTACTATCATTTCACATTCTCTAAAAATATTTATAGTTGTGAGTTAAAATAGCATGCATCTCAAATAATATAAAGCATACTGATCACGAACTAAAACTTTAATTAGAGACAATGTACAGCAAGGAAACAAGATTGCTATAGGTCCAAATGCTGTCTCTGAGTCAGGTTCACCCCTGCACCCAGCCTGGTAGACATAAGAGATAGTAAAGGTGAGTACAGAAGGATTCAGAGTCTAAAGAAAAGAATTAAAAAATACTTTCAACCTTTTTTCTGTATTGCCAAAGGCAAAAGAAAATTCTGATTAATGTAAACTATAAAAGATAACTTTTTAAAGAATTTTTTTTTTCTTCTTCATAGTTTAAAAATCCAAGTAGAGAAAACACATGAGTAGTTCATTCACCTAAGGTGTATAAAACAGCCATAATCTGTACCATTGCAATCTGTATGCTACTCAGCAACAAGCTAGTGGCCTTTACTGAAATGTAGACAAAACCAATTAAAACCTACAGCAACAAAAGTGAAGCCTAATCCAGGAAAACTATCAAATTGTCCTCTTAGGATAAATGTTTTTACAAACATCTAACAAAATTGGTTTTCCCCCTACAAATCTACCAAAAGATCAAACATTCTTAATCATTATTCACTGTCCATAATAAAAATGATTATTATTCCAATTTGAAAACCTATAGTGAGAAGTACATTAGATAAATTACTTGAAGATCAGCTCACATTAGTAATATCTTTGCCAAGAAACTTTATTCATTATACTAGCTTCAACTAAATTAATATATAATTAGTTCTGTGTTTTAAAACTATACTATCAATTGCTTTTTAAGATACTATAATTAATACAAATGAAAATTCTCTGAGTTGAAATAAAATTAAAGCATTGAAGTAAGGTCATTTCCATAAATTTTACTCAATCATGTGCTGATAAACCTCTCTACAGAGGGAACTTCCTAACAGGTTATTTTTTATCTAACACATTGGACTATGAAATTCCACTGGAAGTATTAAACTCCTCATTTCCTAACTCAACATTTCCTTAACTCTTAGCTAGGATAGATATTCTCTTCCTACAGTCACCTACTTTCATGAACCTAAATGTACTTTAGTTGTCTTTTAATTCTATACCCTCTTTGTCCCACCACCATTGTCTTAGTTCAGATCCTTATCATCTAGGCCTTAAAACAATCTCCAAATGGACCTGCTTTTCACATCATTTATATGCTAACCCCCAAATCTGTACATATCTCCAGAACTTGCTTGGCTAACTTAGCTTGCTCAACATCTAAAAATTATCTCAAACATAACACGGTCAAAACACTTAAATCCCTACCCTATAGCTGAGTCTGCTTTTCTATAAAAGTGTTGGTGATATATTTCTAGAAAGTTATTCATTGTATTCTCATGCTGTTATTTTTTGGGTTTTTTTTTAAATCTCTACTACATCTGCAGGTATAATCCTCTTTTCATTCCATTTTTACCTTCCATTTTGTTTTATTAATTTTGCCAGAAGTTTGCTTAGTTTACTGGTCAAAAGGCCAGCTTTCAGTTTTGATTTTTGCTTCTTATATAATTTTCTCTTTTGTTAACTTCTGGTCTTTTCCTCACCATTTTTCTTCTCACTAGTTGGCTTTACTCAGTGGCTCATTTTGTAATCCCTAAAACGAAAAGGTTACCTAAAGAATTTCCAATCTTTTTCTTTTCCAATACGCACATTAAGGTCATAAACTAATACGTCCAAGTATAAGGAAGCTCCAAAAATAAAGTGATCCTATTTTGCCAGTTAGAATATTTTTGTCTGAATATGTAAAACAATCAAATATATATTAGTATACTTAAATATTTAAACAACTGATCTGTAAAATATTGATTCAGGCGCTGGCCGGTTTGGGTCAGAGGTTAGAGTGTCAGCCTACGGACCAATGAGTCACGGGTTCAATTCCAATCAAGGGCACATACCACAGTTGCAGTCTGTCCCCAGCCCTGGTCAGAGTCGTGTGGGAGGCAACCAGTCTATGTGGCTCTATTACATTGATGTTTCTGTCTCTCTCTCTCTCCCCCTCACTTCCACTCTATCTAATGGTAAATAGGATCCTCGGAAGAGGAATAAAAAAAATACTGATTCAGAATATTGTTTGCTTCATTTCATATTTCATAGAACACTTTTCTTCAAACTCCTGATACATATAAGACATGAGTATATCAAAAACTTTTTAAACAGTGAATTTTCCAGATTACATAAGCACTTTCTGAATCATTGTATTATACTATCACTAAACTTCTTATCCCAAGCCACAACTACCCATTTATATAAAATATTAGACTTTTTTTCCTATTTGTACCATTGGGATATATTTTAATATCTATAATGTAATCAAAGTATATTATTTTTTAAGTGATTTTTTTTTTAACACTAGATCTGTGCTAGATTTCTTTGCCTCTTATCAGATGAGCTCTGAGCTTTCCAAACTCACATGTACTAAAAGGCACTTCAGGTCAACGTGCTGTCTTGAACTTTCACGTTCAAGAGAAAGAGAACATGAGAACTGCGATGAGAAAGTTTCTAAGAACACAAATATAAATATCCTTTTCTGGGGAATATTTTTTGAGAAAATATCTTACCTTCTATTTGAATCTGTAGTATTTTTCTAAGTCATTTTAGTGGTTCCCACCCAAGTTTTTATATGTACTTTTTCATTGCTGTTTAGCTCTAAATGCTTCATTTTTCCAATTATCCTTTCACTTCTAAGAACTTTTCAAGTTTTCAAATGAAATGGTTAGAGCCTAGGGGCAGAATGCTATCTTTTTCTTCCTTTTCTTTAAATGTGATCAGTTTTTTGTTGTTGGTGGTGGTGACAATACCCCCCTCCACCCAACCCCTGCCCCACCCCAGGCCTTCCCCATGTCTGTGTACTATCATTTTATTATTTATGTCTAAGTTTACTATTCTATAGTCAGGGAAATTAATTTAGAGTTCCTTTATGTTTAGTACTAGGTCAGTTTAGTTTCTTTTTTTGACTGTTACAGACATAAATAAAAATGTATTTTCTGCATTTGATAAGCTAGGTCAAGCTAGACCAAGTATTTTTTTAATTTATTATTTTTTTAAATCTCCACCCGAGGGTATTTTTCTATTTATCTTTGGACAAAGTGGGAGGGAGAGAAAGGGAGAGAAAGAGAAACATCGACGTGAGAGGGACACATTGACTGGTTGCCTCCCACACAACCCTGACCAGGGCTGGGGATGAACCACAACCGAGGTATATACCCTTGGCCAGAATCGAACCTGAGACTCATTGGTCCGTGGGCCAACGCTCTACTGCTGAGCCAAACATGCCAGGGCCTAGACCAAGTATTTAATGTTCTATTTATAGTCTCTCTACTATTACTCATTACAGTCTACTTAATCAATTTGAGGAAAAAAATGATTAAATTTTCCCAATTTAAATGAATGTTAATTTCTTCTTGTAAATTGCCATTTATATACTTCAGGCTATGTTATCAGGTGAGCATAGGTTTACAAGTGTTACTACACCTTTCCAGTGAATACTTTCCTTTTTCACTAATAACTTAACTGTATATAGAATTCTACATTGACAGTATTCCCTCAGCATTTGGAAGATACTCTTTTTCTAGGATCTCTTCAATCTAACTCATCCCTCTGAGGCAATATGCCTTTCTTCTCTGCTTTCCTTTAAGAATAGTGGGGGGAGGGGGAATGGAGGCATTCTTCAGATTTGCTTCTATTTATCTTGTTCAGAATTTGGTCAGCTATCTTATTCTGATGACTTGTTTCCCTTAAATTCTGGAAAATTATTAGCTATTGTTTCTTTTCCATGTTCTCTTTCCATTCAGCAATTCTTCTTATATACATACTGGGTATCTTATTCTCTAACTATACCTACTTTTTCATATTTTCCATCTATTTATCTCTATGTGGAACATTCCTCAAATCACTATCTCCAATTGTTTTTAATGTCCATGTATTTAAAATTCCAGTGATTATATATTTTTATTTCCAGAAATTTCTCTTTGGCTTTTAAAAAAAATGTTTATTACTAAAGCTTTATTATTTTATAATTTGTTTTAAATCTTCCTTTTATCCCTGTAATGCTTATTTTATGTCACTACATTATCATTTTACTATCTTCAATTCATTACAGCTTATTTCTTTACAGAGTCTGTAATTTTGGATAGCAAGCCCATGTCCCTTACCAATGTGGAAGTCATACAAGCCTTAAGTGGTATGTGTATCCCTACCAAGGTATTTCAGGTTTGCTCCTTTCAAAGTACAAGGAATTTTAATTGTCCTAGATCAATTTTTACATTTTCTTGATATAACATCCCATTATCATATCAGACCCCACAGCCATACTCTAGAGAAGTTAGAGGATACTCAAGAGTCATGTACTGATCATGTGCAATCTCTCATCACAAAGGAACAAAGGACAGAAAGGGAGCATTAATTATATGCCAGG